AAAAAGAAGAAAGAAGCTGGAGAGAAGGAAGGTAAAAGTCAACCAGGAAACCAGAGATTTGCAGGATCAGTGTCTCAAGGAAGTTCCAGTGGGAGTGAAAATCCTACAGAAGCAAGCTATACAAGTGACACTGGCACTGTAAGTAGATCCACACTTGGCTTTACACCTGAGGAAATGGCTAGATTGAGGTACATGTTGCAGGCTGGTGCTAATCAGCCACCCATACCCAATTCCTCACCTTCACCTCCTAGCTCACCTTCCATTCGACACCAAGCCTTTTCTGTGTCTCAGTATTTACCACCATTCCCAAACTTTGAAGGTAAATATGTCCTGTCCTCCTTAGCAAATATCAACAGTAATCACTTAGTCAACTTTTGGATCCTAGATACAGGTGCATCTGACCACATTGCATGTTCTCTAGCTTTATTCATTGATCATAAGCGAGTCCATGACACTTTTGTGCACCTGCCAAACACCACAAAAGTTCCAGTAACACATACAGGAACTGTAAAACTCCCAACAGGACTACATTTATACAATGTACTCCTGGTTCCTAGTTTTTCCTTTAATCTAGTGTCAGTCAGTAGGCTCACTCATGACTTACCCTTAGCCTTACACTTCCATTCTGATCTTTGCCAAATCCAGGACCTACTAAACAAGACGACGATTGGTTTAGCAAAAGAATCTAGAGGACTGTACCAGCTCAATTTTTCAAGCTCTTCACTCACACTTCCAGTCCACCTACCACAAGCTTCCAGTGTCTACAACTTCCAACCTCACCAAGTTGATCTCTGGCATTGGAGGCTAGGACATCCTAGTAGTGATAGGCAATCCTTAGTACACAAACTAGATTCTACTGTTTCTATTTCCAAATCAGAACATTGTAATGTCTGTCATCTCTCTAAACACAAAAGACAACCATTTCCTATTAGTACCAGTACTGCAACAGAACCCTTTCAGTTGATACATATCGACATTTGGGGTCCTTTATCAGTTGTTTCCTATGATGGTTATGTCTATTTTTTAACTGTGGTTGATGATTGCACAAGAGCAGTGTGGGTGTACCTTATGAAACACAAAAGTGAAGCCAGAGACTTGTTTAAAGGCTTCTGTCAATTGGTTAAGAATCAGTTTGGCACAACTGTTAAAACAGTAAGAAGTGATCAAGGAAAGGAATTTGATATGTGTGACTTTTACATGGCTGAAGGAATAGAACACCAGATGTCCTGTGTGTATACCCCAGAGCAGAATGCTAGGGTAGAAAGGAAGCATCAGCACATTTTAAATGTGGCTAGATCACTCAGGTTTCAATCTGGAATTCCATTACTTTACTGGAGTGACTGTATAATGCATGCAGTTTACCTAATTAACAGAATCCCTACACCACTTTTACACAACAAATCACCATATGAGGTCCTATACAAGAAAGCTCCTTTCTTAGGCCATTTGAGGGTGTTTGGTTGTTTGGTGTATGCTAGTACCATAGCAGCAGGGAGATCTAAATTTGATCCTAGAGCCAGGCAGTGTGTACTACTTGGCATTCCTTCAGGCCTTAAAGGATATAAGCTTCTTGATCTCAAAGATAACCAAGTTTTCATTTCTAGAGATGTGGTGTTTCATGAATCTATTCTACCTTTTAGACATGATTCACACACTACTGTTCCTTCTTTTGATCCTACTCCACCTCAAATTCCCATCCCAACTTCTCATCCACCAGTTCATACTCCTGGTCTAAGCCTTCCTCCAACCCTTCCTACACCTGTATCACCCTCTGCTGATGGGGGACACTATACACCTCCTACAGCAGAAGAGCCTGAAGCTGAGCCTATGAGTGATGACACAGCAGCTGAGCCTTATAGTCATCAAGATTTTGAAATGGAAGTTGAGTTAGAACCTGAATTAGAACCTCAGCAGGATTTTGAACCATCTAAGAGACCACAAAGGTCTCATAAACTACCTGCTAAGTTTGACAATTGTGAATTGGATCCAGATCTGAGTTTTGGTGCTTTTGGTTCTTGTGGAGCAGCTTCTAAGTATCCTATTGAGTTTGATTTGGATCACTTGAATGCTGCTGATAAAGCTTTTGCACTGAGTGTCATCTCACAGATTGAGCCAGCTACATTTTATGAGGCAATGCAATCAGATGTGTGGAATAGGGCTGTACAAGAGGAGTTAGGTGCCTTGGAACAGAACCAAACCTGGGATGTGGTAAAGTTGCCAGATGGAAAGAAAGCCATTGGCTGTAAGTGGGTTTTTAAAATCAAAAGAAGAGCAGATGGCACTATAGAGAGGTTCAAGGCTAGGCTGGTGGCAAAAGGGTACACTCAGGTCTATGGAATTGACTTCCTAGACACCTTTTCCCCAGTAGCTAAGATAAACTCAGTGAAAGCATTACTTGCAGTGGCTGCAGTCAAAAATTGGACATTAGAACAGTTAGATGTATCTAATGCCTTCCTACATGGGGATTTAGAAGAAGAAGTGTACATGAAAATACCAATGGGACTTGATCTGAATGGTATTGATCCAAGGGGAATGGCTTGCAGGCTGAAGAAATCACTGTATGGGCTTAAACAAGCATCAAGACAGTGGTTTGCAAGGTTGACAGGTTTTCTATTAAAGAATGGGTTTGCTCAATCAGCTTCAGATTACTCTTTATTCACTAAATGGGTGCATGGCAGAATTGTGGTACAGCTAGTGTATGTTGATGATATCATCATAGGGGGAGATGCACCAAAGGATATAGAGCAGATCAAGAAAGCATTGAGTAAAGAGTTTAAAATTAAACTGCTGGGACCTCTACAATACTTCCTTGGAATGGAAGTAAACAGGACTGCAGATGGGATCAGTGTTTGCCAAAGGAAATATGCCTTGGAGCTGTTAAAGGACACTGGATATTTGGAAGCAAAAGGATGCATCACACCTTCAGACCCTAAGGTGAAGTTGGCAGCAAATCAAGGAACACCTCTGGAAGATGCAGAAGTCTATAGAAGGCTGATAGGAAGATTGCACTATGTGACAATCACTAGACCAGACTTAACTTACATAGTGCAACAGCTGTGTCAATTCCAGAAACAGCCTTGTAGTGATCATCTACAAGCAGCTTTCAGGGTGTTAAGATACTTGAAGAACAACCCTGGCCAAGGCATACACTTCAGCAGCAAGGCAGACTTGAAGCTAGTGGGGTTTACAGGCTCAGATTGGGCCAGTTGTCCAGACACAAGAAGGTCTACAACTGGATACTGCACCTTTCTGGGAAGTTCCTTGCTGACTTGGAAGAGTAAGAAGCAAACTACTGTATCCAGATCTTCATCAGAGGCTGAATACAGGGCACTAGCTTTGCTGGTTTGTGAAGTTGAATGGTTGAAAGGTTTGTTGGCAGAATTGAGTGTTAAAGTTCCTTTGCCTATCTCAGTCTACTGTGACAACAGGTCAGCGATACACATAGCAGAGAACCCAGTATTTCATGAAAGGACAAAGCATATAGAAATTGATATGCATGTGACCAGAGAAAGAATCAAAAATGGGTTGATCAAGCTCCACCATGTAAGTACTTACAATCAGTTGGCTGACTTGTTTACGAAGGGACTGGATAGAGCGCGAATGCAGGCACTGTTGGTCAAGTTGGGAGTCAGAGTGACTGCCACAACTTGAGGGAGGCTGTCAGGATTCTAAGTCCAGTTTGCAGAAGAAATGCAGAGAAGAAGAACAGAGTCGTGGAAGAAGAAGAAGGGCGAAACGTATGAGAAGGAGGAAACGTTTCTATCAGTTGCAGAACAGTTTTATTGATGCGATGTCGTTTTACTACTAGCTTATTGTAATAGCAGTTAGCCGTTTAATTTACTGTTTAATCTTTAAATTGACAAATGGAAAGCAGCCAAGTGGCATGCGTCTGTAATCCATTCTGTCTTTGCTTTTCTGCTGGACTATATAATGAAATGGAGAATCTCAGAGGAAGCTGAAGATTACTCCTTCCACAAAACCCTTGCTAGGTTTTCTCTTATATTATCATCATGATCAAGGAAGAAGCGGCGCAGTTGAAGGTCGGAGTCGCAGTGGACGTTCTTTGGAAAGCACTGGCTCACGACTTGGACCGCGTCATCCCGCACATACAGTCGGACATCGTCAGCGCCGCCGATGTCCTAGAAGGAGACGGCGGCCCCGGCACCGTCTACCTTTTCACCAGCACCAACTCCGGTGACTAGTGTTCCCTTTTCTCTTTTCTATGAATAATAATATATATTTTTTTTAAATAGGAAAATTGTAATTAGGTTTACGTTACGACGCATATATATATATATATATGCAGGGAAGGTAAAGGAGAAGGTGGCAGAGGTGGATGCTTGTTCGCACAGAATAGGGCTGGAGGTGACGGAAGGTGGGCCTCTGGAAAATGGCTACGGCTACCACAAGACGACGTTCCAGCTGACGTCAGCCGGGGAGGAGGAGACGGTGGTTGATCTTACTGTGGCTTACGAGCCTCGTCATCATCATGCGGCGGCGCCGCCACCAAAGACCACGGCAAATGTCTTGGATTTCATCACCCTCTTGGAGAAGTTCTTGGCCGGCGGTGTTGAAACGGGAAAAATCGATTCCTAAGGAAAGTGTTTTGTGTCGTTTTAAATCTTCCTGTCTTTCTTGTTTGCCGATCGAGTTTGTGGGTTCTCTGCTGGTAATAATTAATAAATTAACTTAATTAATTGCTCCAAATCAACAGATGAATGGACTTATGGCCGGACGCTAATAATCTAACACCAATAACCATCTCAAACATGATTAGGGTTTCGAAGATGGTGTCGATTGTTGACGAAAAGTCGAGACCGGCCAAGTCGATCGAGGCAAATAAAGTCGATCTGGCAAGTCACGATGGATTAAATCCGTAAAAATATGGGTATGTTTGAATTGGAGTTCCAGTACTTTCTGCATCGCTTTGTCCGATTTCAATAATTCGATGTCGATAAAATTCGAGCTTATATCGTTATGGTCCCTAAATATAGGAGATTTGGAAATGATTTGGAAATCATGTATTGAGTCTTATTCCTTTATGATTTGATAAAATTTATACAAGAACGTCAATCAATCACATTTCCCGTCGTCGGTACCATATGATGAGAAGCTACTGATTTGTGGACTGAAAATTCACCGGAGCTGCCCAAATGATGATCATGAAGTAACGTGTAACTTTCTCCAAAATTACCATCTTCCACGACCTCAATTTTATGCACAGTTTCATCGTTGTCTCCCTTTTGGTTCCCTGCCGCCGCCTTCTGCAACCTCATTTTCTTCCCATCTGCCCCTCAATAACATAACGCTGGAAAGTCAATAACCAATTGTCGATTATACTTCTACATCGATTACTACAGAAATTAATTAAAGAATGTCAAATTCATCACTGTTAATTAATGGTTATTCTCATACTCCGTGACATGTTTCGTAAAATCGTTAAATCGCGACCCACACGTACGATGATTAAGATCCGAACAACACAGATAGAAGACTATATCATATAAAGAATATGATATGTTAAGAACTAGCTGGTTGGGGTACTAGATTTTAGTCGATGAAACCATTTTTATTATACAATCAATCACCACCATAAATTTATTTATTTTGACGGGTTACTAGAGATAAACTCACAGAAACTGATGTTGTCTATAGTTTTTTTGGTTCCGCGCTTATTGTTCAAATTTAATTACTATAGATCGTAACTATGATTGTTAAAAAATTTTTATCTGTAACTTTATTATGACCAATAATTTTTGTAAAAAAAATTATTACTTTCGATTATTAGAGATAACACACAAACAAACAAACAAAAATTGATTGGAATTGTTGTTTGTTTCCCAAAATTTGTATCCATTTTCTGCTCGTGCTCTCGCATTATCACCAGGCCAACTTGTTTAGGTTATGATATTCGATTATTATATTTCAACAAGTGATAAGAAATGGAGCTCATCACCTTTTCCAAACCGAAGGGAGAAGAGGCTTCCGGCCGGCGCCGGTGCATGAAAATAATCTCCATAGAACTCCATGGCCAGCGTTACTAGTAGCAAGAAAGTGGAAGCGAGGAAGCAGAGCAGGAAGAGGAATTTCAGATCGAAGCAGAGCACCGTGGGGAGTGGGAGACTGGTCGGCAAAACGGACTGCACATCTTGCGCAGGCAGAAGATACGTTACAGTACTGCTGACCATAATCTCGCCGTAATTAGTAGCAATAATATTTCCCTCTAATACTGCAGAATTCATCTCTTAACCCTCGCTAATGATCTTTCGAGGTTTCAATGTATGGAGATGGGTGGCATGGACGAAGGATATAGTTTGATTATCAGCTTAATTAAGGGTTTTAGGAAAGAAACAAAAAGACATGTGCTTCTTAATTTCGTATTATCACTTTTTTTCTTCTTCAAATGCTGACACCACCAATATATGTTTTGCCAAATTATGTTCAATCCTTTTATGATGGAGTTAATTTGGAAGAGTTTCAAAAATAGAGGTGGAAAATTGAGTTGAACTCCCCAATTCCAGAGCAAGCCAATGGAGGAGTTTCTTTTTTTTTTTTTTTTTATAGCAATGGAGGAGTTTCGAAAGCAAACCAGAGGAGTTTTTCTTCTTCTTTCTTCTTCTATCCTTTGCTACTTGCTTGGAGGAGTTATATGTTGTATATATGTGTGGCTCGTTACAATTATGAAATTACCTGATAAAGGGGTAATGATTTGGGGTAATTAAGAGTAAAATTGGAGGGAAGAGGACAGGGGCTTACAGAGGATTATATCAGATTATATCACAAGTTAGAAATCTATTTTGATATACTTTGAAAGTTAATTTTTCTCTCCATATGATCATATCACTATTGTCATATTGCGATATCATGAGTTCACGACAACAATATGATGATGGTATAAAGTATTATCATAGTGGTTTAGATCATCTTATGATAGTGGTAAGATTTCGCAGTAAGATAGTTTATTAGAGTGGTAAAGAGCATAATATGTTGCTAGTGTTAAGATTGTAGTAGGAACTCTTACCATGGTGATAATATCATGGTATCGTAGTGATAAAATGATAGTATATGAACTCTTTGATGATATTATGAAATTGTCATGGTAGCAATAAGATCATGCTATGACAATGTTAAGATGACATCAAACATGTGCTTTCAAGGTATATTTTGTTTCCATCAAGATATATAGAAAAGTAGATATTATTATGTATATAGGGCTCATTTGGAGAATATGAGTTTAAATCTATAGATTGTCAACAATTTAAAGATTCTAACTATTCGGATTGTTGAAAATAGATTTTAAAATGTTTATTGTTTGGTAGCTGTGATTGTTAGCATTCAATTAGTGCGAATTAGTGCGGTCAAATCGCTCCAACCTGACCAAATCCACAATTGCAGCAATTGATCCAAACACACAGCAAATTCCGCGATCTCTCTTTTAAACGGTTCGTGATGATTTTGGATTCACCAAACTCAAGCCGTTGCCGTTCAAAACTGCAAACTGCTGAAAAGTGAGCCGTGTGTTCATGCAATTATAAATGTTCATCATAGTACATTGGTACATCCCTACCATTTTTCTATGATGGTACATCCCTACCAATTAAATTATGCACAAGGTGCAAACAAAAGCATCTAAGAACCTAATTTGTCCCATTAGAAGCCAAAGATGCCGAAATCTCCAGCTCAGAGCAGATAAGGGCAATTCCATTACTCAAATCATATCCATTTTAATGATTTCATCTCTTATTAGAGCAGAGTTTGTCTTCTGATCAAAAGTATAGACTCTGGCAGAGCTGCTCTGTTCTGTCTTTGAAAGCGGCGGCCATGATCAAGGAGGTGAAAGGGCAAGCCAAGGTCAGCCTAGGATTGGACGTGATATGGAAATCCTTAACCAAGGAACTGCATTTCATCATCCCAAAATTGATGCCAGAGCAAGTGGAGGAAGGCCACGTCCTCGAAGGAGACGGTGGCCTTGGAACTGTCTTCCTCTTCAACTTCTCCAAAAGCAAGTACTTTCACAAACTTAGTGATTCCTTTCATGTTCTGTATTCTGAGAAACTAGACCGCCCGACTTCTTACTGCTGTTTTGAATCTTCAGACATCAAAACATTGAGATACCAGAAGGAGAAGATTGTCGAGCTTGACGAGACTCTGCATCTGCTTGGACTCCAAGTTGTGGAAGGTGGTCACCTCGACCATAGCTTTTCGTACTACAAAACCACCTTCCAGCTCACTGCAGCCCACGACTCGGCCACGGCCGAGACGATCGTTGATGTGACGGTAGCTTATGCATTTCAAGCCGAACCAGTTAAAGCAAGTCACACTCACATGCCATCCATTACCATGGCGCACTCTCTCAAATTTGTCAAGTCCTTGGAAAGTTATCTGCTTACCAATTTGGTTGCTGCTGGCTCCTTAACTACTGGTTGATAGCTTTTCTAGCACCTCTGTTTCTCTTCTCGGTTAATTTCTCAAGTGTGTCCTGTTTGCGAAGTGTAATAAACTCCTGCTCTGTTTTTCAAGCAAATGAAAAGTCGATTTGTCGCGAACCCGAATCGATCCACGAGAGTTTAACATGGAATCGATTATGTTATCGAAAGCTCTTGTACCATGTAAATTTATCAAATAAATTGAGTGGTTGTAGAAGCTTATCAATGTTAAATCATAAAGGATTCCTTAACGAGACTTAGCATCTCTCATGGCAACCAATTTAACATTTGAGCATAACGACACTGTTAATTTTGGACTACAATTTTATTCAGTCTAGAAGCCCATGATGATGAACATCATGAATCAATAATCACTTCCTGCAAACAATCCCATATCCAGCAGCAGCAGCAGCTCCCCTGGTACAGTCAAGGGTAGGAAAGTTAGTGCCCATCCCCTGTTTTGAGCTCTGTTCCTCTGCTTTGGAGAAGATGCAAGCACCACATTCTGCAGAGAGAAGGTCCGAGGTTCTGTACTCATCCTCGCCTCCCATGACGGGCATTGCCTTGCCCGGTTTCGCGACAGCGTTCTCGAAGTCGGGCTGGTAAGTCTTGCCCAGTACCCCTTCGACATTCGGCGACAAATGGAAGAACCTGAACTGGACTTCCAGATGGACAAAACAGTCATGTTCCGGTATTTGGTACTTGTGTACTCTGTCATCTTCCTTGGTCACCGGCACCACATTCACCAGGATCTCGGCCTTGTTCTTGATCGTGACGATGACACTGTTCTTGCTCGAAACTCTCTCCACCGTGATGTCCTGGGAGGACCAGGCGGAGAGAGAGCCTTCTTCGACCGAAAGGTCTTGGCCATCGTAGGTGAACTTCATATGGTCCACCTCGTTGTCCCATGTCGCGGCCTTAGTGGCCTCGAGGGTGAATTTGTGGGAGTCGAAGAGGATTCCGAAGGATTGAATCCATGTAAAATCACGGGGTCTAGCGACGGGCCGGTGGCCGATGAAATGTCCGTTGATCTGGAAGTTGGGGTCTGAGACCAAGGTGAAGACCTCGTTGCTCTTGCCGTGGAAGTAGAACACTCTGCCATCGCCGCCCACAAAACGTGGGTCGTAGCAAGCCGATCCTGGAGCGTCACAGTTCGGTTTGCGCGCTGTAGAGGAGTGCAATCAATTTTCCCCTAGTTTAGCACACAAAAACAGGAACTGGAAGTCTAGAACTCATCACCATTGCAGAAACTATACGATCAATCAATGCGACAATGTTTGTTAGTGAATTGACCCGATTTGAGAAACCGGTATGGAATCGACAAGAGGACATGAAAGCATATACGTACTCCTGCACCCGGCGTTACAAATCGGGTGGTCGCATTCGACATGGCAAATTTTGCCCTCGGCATTCGGTCTTCGAGTGGAGGGGCATTCCTCGGGGCAGCCTATGTGTGCACCCATGCAACGGCTCGAAGTTTCGTTGCACAACACGACTTCTGTTTTCCAGTAACTAGGGATGGCTGCTGAAACGTTGATGGCAGTCAGATGCAAAGTCGCGACCACCATCGCGATGGCGATCACGCCAGTAGTTACGACGAATTTCATTGCGGCTAGGTACTTGCTAGTAACAAAATCAGGGGAAGATGGGCTTGAAGAAAGAAGGAGAGATCAGTGATTGAGCTGTGTAGTAATGTGGGAGATGTGAGGCTAGATATAGGATCACAAATGTATTAAGAAATGATCCAGTTGCAATTTCTTTTTTGATAGGGTTTCAAATAAGTAAATGTATGTGAAAGTTTTGGCGGGTAATGAAGCAAGACATAAACATGGGGTGGTGGAGGTGGCAGATGAAGGTGAAAGAGAGAGATACAATTTGGTTTGGAGGTTTCAATGAGTCAACTCTATATGTTCATCCCACTTTTCCAAGAGTGGGTTACTTTATCCAAAATGCAGCAAGGGAGGATGATGGGGTTGGGTTCAGAAGTGGCTTAGGGAGAGGAAAGTTGAGGTTTGACTTTTGAGTGTGTTTGATATCATAAATGTAGCACCAAAGCTGTCATAGTTTTGTAAGCAAAGTGTTTAAGAAGTTTGGAACTTGATTGTAGTTTTGTATTAACCTAGCTTCTGAACCGAAATTTTGTCTTGTTCCGACCATGGTTCAACTTAAAACGAAAATTGGTCCGACCAATTGGCCAAATTCAAGTATTTCTAGTCGAAATTTATCTCGTCGGATTCGCTATTCGTGACTTGGAGATACTGACAATGCCAACAACCCAGTAGTGATTATGGTGAGTGCTAAAAGAGAAAGACGATAAGTGTTTTTCTTTTTTGTGAATGTTGTGTTTGTTGGATGGATCGAGGATTGAAATACCATATCGGAGGTTGTTTTGGAAAAGTCAGCAGTAGGATATTTTATACTAAAATCATAGTTCAATCGTGGTTCAACCATTTCATACCTCTAAGTACTGTCTACCAGTTTAGACTCCGATAAGATGTTTTTCTAGTCGAACCGCTATGGTATGGTTTTTCAATCTTTGGAAAAAAGACGAAAAAAGAATAAATTAAATATCTTTAGCACCGCATTTAGCAACCCATGGCCATACTATATTAAATATTTTTGGCAAAATACATTTTCATAGCCATAACTTTTCGCGTTGTGACAAATATAGCCAAATTCTGAAAAATACACTTGTATAGCCACTTTTTCAAACTTGCTTGACAACTTTAGCCATTTCCGTTACAAACTTTAACGCCATCACAAACGTCGTTAATAACCTCTGTGTGTCGGTGAGGTGGATGCCACCTGGATGACACATCATCACCAACTGGACATCTTCATGCCACCTCATATTAAAAGTAATTAAAAAATAATGTTAGTAAAATAAAATAATTAGAAAGAAAAAAATCATTTCTCTCTCTCTCTATTCCTTCATCCCTGCCCCAAATCGCTTTCCCACTGCTTGTCTTTCCCAGTCGCTTGCCTTTCCAAATTCCCCTCCACCAGATCCAAATTCATGACCCCTTCCTCCTCCCTTCAAAGCCCCACTCTCTTTCCCGAGCAGCATCCCCACGGGGCCGTCCCGTTCCCGTTCCACCCCCACACCAACGCCATTTGCCCGTACACCAATCCGACGAACTCCCTGCGAAGGTCGTCGACCGACGAATCGGGACCAGGGGTGATGACTTTCTTGTTTTCGCCTTCTTTTTTCTCGGTGTGTGTTGTGGGAGATGGGATAATGCAGTGAGAGGGATCGATTTGGAGAGATTTGTTTCAATTGATTCTAAGAGAACAATTCCTTTGAGAAATTAGGGATTTTGTAGGGGATGAGCGGAGGAAGCTTGTGACACCGGTGGGAGGAGGAGCTGATTCATTGATTTTGCTGGGGGATAAGAAATGAGTCCGATTGGAGAATCGGGGGTCATCGGCAGCGGCGTTTGCTGGCCGTACCGGGAGTGGGATGATTGTTGTTGGCCTTGCGTCGGAGGGAAATTGACGGAAGGAAGTTAAGGGTGATATGGAGTGTATGAACGGGTTGATCGATGGAGGGGATGGTGGTGTTTTGAGCTCGTTGTGTTCGTCGATCTGCCACTGCCAGGGTGTATGAAGAAGAAGAAGAGGAATGGAAGGTCGGGGAATATGTAGAGGAAGGGTTTTTAATTCATCTTCCTTTTTTATTTTAATTTTCTTTTATTTTTAATTCATCTTTCTTTAAACTCTTTCCACCAGTATTGCCACATAGATTACCTAGGCCACGTTGCAAACATCCGTTAGTCTAGTCAGCAGTTGTGAGATTTCCGTTAAAGTTTTGGATGGAATGGCTATACGAGTGTATTTTTCAAAATTCGGCTATATTTGTCACAACACGAAAAGTTATGGCTATGAAAGTGTATTTTGCCAATATTTTTCCATCACTTTTCAATTTTCATTGCTCTACTTAAGGTTGTCAAACCGGTTTATGCCAGTGTGCCGGTTTAGCAAGTGGAATGGTTCAACCGGTGGCACATACCGGTTTGTGCCGGTTCATGCCGGTCAATATTACAAATAAAATTATAAATACTCATATTTGAACATGACATTTAACGTCAATACCTAAACATTTATATTTGAATCCAACCAATAAAAACAATATTTAACTTTTATACTCATAAAATAAATAATAAAATAATTTTTATCAATTAAATTCTCTAAAATAAGGTCATTTTACTTAGAGATTCGTATATCGATCATGCCGGTCATACCGGTTGTGTCACGCCGGTTTTATGACCGGTACCGGTTGAACCCGGTACAACCGGTGGCACGCCGGCCGGCGTGACAACCAGCCTCTACTTTTCTCTCACAATTTTTACTACTCCCAAATATTCATTCTCTTGAATAATAATAACTTTCCCTCTCAAATTTGAAATTTCACTCACCTTTCTCCGTGACCAACTGACCATAGTTCTCTTAAACTGCATCTATTCAATTTTTGTATTTGGTCCAAATATGATATATGATCAATATGCATGATATGACTCATGATCCTCTAGGTAGACCATTTGCATTTTTCCACCTTTGCATAACCACATAAATTAATTGTGAAATTCTTATTCTTATTATTATTATTATTATTATTATTATTATTATTATTATTATAGAACTTCACTTAAAATTATAATTATACAATAATGATGCAGAACAATTACAAAGATAATCGTCGAGCACAACATCAGTGCTACAATTTTGATAGACAATAAACACGAAGATAGTAAATTAGTTAAAAATCAAATGCACGAATGAGGAATCATTTTAATACGATATATATAAGATCCCTCCCCTGCCGCCGCAATATCCATTGGACTTCAATCTTATTCGAAACCAGAAGTTGCTGATAATTCATCGATCATCCCAAATCAAATAGACTTACTTCCTGCAGACAATCCCATACCCAGCAGCAGCTCCCCTGGTGCAGTCAAGTGTAGGAAAGTCAACGACATTCCCCTGCTTCTTCAACTCCTCTGCCTCTGAGAAGATGCAAGCACCACATTCCGCAGAGACAAGGTCCGAGGTTCTGTACTTGTCTTCCCCTCCCATCACCGGCATCGCCACGCCGGGCCTCGCGACCGTGTTCTCGAAGTCCGGCTGGTAAGTCCTGCCCAGCACTCCCTCAACTCTTGGGGACAACTTGTAGAATCTGAACTGGACCTCGAGATGGACAAAGCAGTCGTGTTGGGGGACATTGTACTTGTGTACCCTGTCGTCTTCTTTAGTCACGGGGACGACATTGACCAGAATCTCTGCCTTGTCCCTGATGGAGATGATGACGCTGTTCTTGCTCGAGACGCGCTCCACCTTGATGTCCTTGTCCTGGGAGTACCAGGACGAGAGTGAGCCTTCGGTGATCGAGATGTCTTGCCCGTTGTAGGCGAACTTGAGGTGGTCCGCCTCGCTGTCCCATGTCGCGGCCTTGGTGGCCTCGAGGGTGAATTTGTGGGTGTTGAAGAGGACTCCGAGGGATTGGATCCACGTGAAGTCGCGGGGTCGGCCCGCGGGCCTGTGGCCGATGAATCGGCCGTTGATCTGGAAGTTTGGGTCGGAGACCAAGGTGAAGACCTCGTTGGTCTTGCCGTGGAAGTAGAACACCCTGCCGTCCCCGCCCACGAAGCGTGGGTCGTAGCAGGCTGATCCTGGCGCGTCGCAGTTCGGCTTCCGCTCTGCAGAAATTTAATGTGATCATCAATCCAATTCGATCAGTTAGATCTCAAACTCGAGCTATGAATGTAACAAAATCGATGAGCAACAAAATTAGAGTGGCTGTTTTATCCTGGAGGCGACTGGCTGATAGTCTGCTGTGCGCCAATACGAGTCAGTGCCGCGAACGTCTTAAAGAGAGCAACCTAATCCGCGACTCAGCCAGATCGGTAATCCTAATTTTCCATGTTCGGTTTCTAACAATAAGGAAAAGCAATGGGAAGGGGGGGAATGTGACGACATACTTTGGCATTCGGCCTTGCAGAGTGGATGGTCGCAGTTGACGTGGCAGACCTTGCCCTTGGCGTTTGGGGTTGTGGTGGAAGCGCATTCGGCAGGGCAGTCGACGTAAGCGTCGGAGCATCGGCTGGTTTTGGCGCACCACACGGTTTCTGCTTTGGGGTAATCGGCAGCTGAAACCATGGCCGCCAGCTGGAGAGCCGCCGCCGCCGCCACCATCAGAATGGCACTAATGCCAGCGGTTGTGGCGAACTTCATCCTGAATTGCTGATAACAAGATCGAGTTTGGAGATTGTTGGAGGAGAAGAGGATGGCGATGAGAGTGATTGAGGTGTGGAACAATGGGGAAGATGGGAGGCTATTTATAGGAACAGAAATGCATTTGGAAAATGTTTTGAAGTATTATTTTAGTTAGTTTTTTGGCGGGTAAACGAAGCATATGAACATGGGGGCGGGAGGGCAGTTCCTGAAGAGTTAGAATGTAGGAACAGAGAGATTGATATGCAAGAGTTCATGTTCAGTGTATTAGTCAACGCATTTTCATGTTCACTTTTGCAACAATGGTTTACTTAGCCCAAACGGTTGCGATGAATTATGCATAGCTGGTTTAAGAAGTGACTTGCAAAGAGGAAAGTTGAGGCTAGGTTGGAGTCTTGTGGTATGCAAAAAACTATTAAGCAAAGTGTTTGCACATGATAATATAGGAAATTGGAGATATGTGTGGCCTATGAAATTTTTGCTTTTGATAAATTTGTGTTATAAATCAATTGGTATAAATAACTCGAGTTGGTGGAAGAAGTTCATGTATGGTATTTAATCACTTCATTACACGCTTCTCAAACGAAAGCCAATTCATGGGCTTGAAGTTTGCACAGTCCCCCCATACCATGTGCTTGGCTTTAAGACAACGATTAATATCGGGGGTCGTGAGGACTCGAACATATGACATCAATTACAGACTAGGCTCTGATACCATGTCATAAGTCAACTGGTCCCAATAACTCGAGTTGTTGAGAGACAATGACTAAGTAAGAAAATTTATATAGGGATGTCCTCTTTCAAAAATTAAATTAATAATTAAATAATTATAAAATAATAAACTATCTTCTAGTCTAATGAAAAATAAGTTTACCAATAATTGTAATCTTCTAGTTCAAATCACCTAATCTATCACTTATATATATTTTTTACCCATACGCAAACTACTACCAGAATTAAATAATCGATATTTACAAAAATTAGGGGTGTCCCAGAACATCCCCTAACCCCCTGTCTCCGCCCCTGTTGGGAAAGACCCATGTAGGATACTTAATCACTTCCTTACAATTTGAATTTTCATACCTACTATCACTAGTGAGTGATTTAAATACAAAATATAAATGTGTTCACGAATTACTTTTTTTAACAAGAGATAATCATGTTGATTGACGGAAAGATAAGAGATTACACCAGTTCATTAATTTTTTTAATAATTGATATGTATAGTTTATTAAGTAAGAAAATTTTGATTACAATCATGCGATTTCCTGAAAAATGTTTATGTGCAAACTTCAATTATAATAGTTATCTTGTTGATGAAAATCTCTAAAATATTTTAATCTCTTCTTAACTAAATAAATTGGCATCTATATGTAAACCATAATATTCCAACCGAGTTAAAAAAAATCAGTAATGGATTAGGATTTTTCTTCATTTTGATCTTACAACCTATAATATTTGGCCTTTTTTATTCATTTGGATCAATATATTACCAGAGTATTTACCGCCAATTGTAGTGATATTGATGAAAGAAATAATCCTAGAAAGCCCATTCTGATATGATTATATAGAAAAGCCCATTCTGATCGGGCCTTCTTCTCGAGCCCATTACCCGTTGCTCAAAGTTCCCTCTCTAGCCTCGAATCAAATCATTGCACGGACTGAGTTAACTCGTTTTCCACAAATTGGAGACCGAGTCCCAGCAGAAACCCTAGCTTTCTTTTGTACATTTACTTGACTGCAAGAAATTCCACCTTCCTGAAGTCGCCATTCCTGAAGGTGAGTTTGCCTCCTCCTTTCAATTGCTAGCTACTTACTGCATTTACATATTAGAAGTTGATGATAAATTTTGAATTTCATTCTGAGCGCCAAACCTAAAATTGAACCCTCCATTAAGATTTTTCTGTTTGTTCTTGAATATCTCAGAACTCGGAAGAAATGAGCATGTTTTTGGTGAAATTTTAATTCTTGGAGTTTTGTAATATCAGTCGATGGACACTCCGGGAAGAGGCAGTTCGGTTACTAAGAGGTCGTTGAGGAAGAAAGCTGCTTCCCGGAGTTATGACGAGGATTTGGTGGATGAGGCCATTGAGAAGCATCTGGGTGGAAGGTTCAAGAAAAGGAGCCGAACGAAGGAGGCTATGGAGAAAGAGACCGAGAAGGAGGCAATGATAGCTATATCTTTGGGGTTCCCAATTGATGCATTGCTCGAGGAAGAGATTCAGGCTGGGGTAGTGAGCCAGTTGGGTGGCAAAGAACAGAATGATTATATAGTCGTGAGGAACCATATTCTCACTAGATGGAGGAGTAATGTGCGGAGTTGGCTTTCTAAAGGGCAGATAAGGGAAACCGTGAGCAATGAGTATGAGCAGTTGCTATCTTCTGCATACGACTTCCTTTTGTATAATGGGTATATAAATTTTGGGATTTTATCTGCTACGTCGTCTCCGGTTCTTGAACCGGCGAATGAATCTTCTGTTATAATTGTTGGTGCTGGACTTGCTGGGCTAGCAGCTGCAAGACAGTTGATGTCATTTGGGTTCAAAGTTGTTGTTCTTGAAGGTAGGAACCGTCCAGGGGGGAGAGTGTATACTCAAAAGATTGGCAGAGATGGCGAATTTGCTGTTGCTGATATCGGTGGTAGTGTTATTACTGGTATGCATGCTAACCCTCTTGGAGTTCTGGCAAGACAACTCTCTGTTCCACTTCATAAGGTTCGGGATAACTGTCCTCTGTACAAACCGAATGGGGAACCCGTTGATAAGCAGATGGATTCTGATATCGAGTTTACCTTCAACAAGTTGCTCGACAAAGTCATGGAATTGAGACAAGTCATTGGTGGATTTGGGAATGATGTGCCTTTGGGTTTGGTTTTGGAGAGACTTAAACAGCTTTATGGAGTGGCTAGAACTACCGAGGAGAGGCAGCTGCTTGACTGGCATCTTGCTAACCTAGAATATGCAAATGCTGGATGTCTTTCGGATCTTTCAGCTACGTATTGGGATCAGGACGATCCATTTGAAATGGGTGGGGACCACTGTTTTCTTGCTGGAGGAAATTGGAGATTGATCAAAGCATTGTGCCAGGGTGTTCCCATATTCTATGGGAAAACAGTCGATGCCATCAAGTACAATGAGGATGGTGTCTCAGTGCTTGTTGGTGAACAAAAGTTTGAAGCAGATATGGTACTGTGCACCGTGCCTCTTGGAGTCTTGAAGAGAAAAGCCATAGAATTTTATCCCGAGTTACCTGCAAGGAAGCTGGCAGCAATTGAGAGGCTGGGATTTGGGCTGCTCAATAAAGTAGCCATGCTGTTTCCTCGAGTGTTTTGGGGAGAGGAGCTGGATACGTTTGGGTGTTTGAATGACCACAGCAACAGCCGCGGTGAATTCTTTTTGTTCTATGGCAACCATGCTGTTTCTGGAGGTGCAGTACTCATTGCTCTGGTGGCTGGTGAAGCTGCACAAGCGTTTGAATGTACTGAACCATCAACTTTGCTCCATCGTGTTCTTGACAAACTCAGAGGTGAAAACCCTATGGTACATATATGCGTGAATGTGGTGTCAATTTTTATCTTATATCATGAAGTGTGACGATTTATCTGTTTTCTGTTTAGTACAGGTATATACAATCCCAAAGGCATTGAAGTTCCCAACCCGATACAATCAATATGCACAAGATGGGGCAGTGATCCCCTAAGTTATGGTTCATACTCTCATGTTAGGGTGCAATCTTCCGGCTTTGATTACGATGTCCTAGGAGAGAGTGTAGGCAATCGGCTTTTCTTTGCTGGTGAGGCCACAACCAGGCAATATCCTGCAACAATGCATGGTGCCTATATAAGTGGCTTAAGAGAAGCTTCTCGGATCCTGAAAGCGAGTAGAGCCGAGGATAATGATAATTCAAGGAAGTCTGTGATGCCGAGGAGTCTATTATTGAAAACCAGTGATTCATTGGTGGATCTGTTCAAGAGACCCGAGCTTTCAATTGGGAATTTCTCCTTTGTGTTCAATCCTTTGGAACAGGACCTGAAATCAGTGGGGATTATGAGGGTCACTTTTGATACTTGTGATGAGGATTTGAAGGAGGAGCTGGAGAATAGTTTAAGGTGTCCTGTGAATATACCGTTGCAGCTTTACACAATGATATCTCGTCAACAGGTCGTCGATGCTCAACTGGTCAATGATGGCGGAGATAAGCCTACCTGGTCCTATTTGACTAAAACCTTAGAGCTGAAGCTAATGGGTTCTGCAGCCTTTGTCAGCACAGCTCATTCGTTGATTTCCAGCATTGCTAATCCGCGAAAGGGCAAGGTCAGGGGCAGGCCAAGGAAGATTGCTCCCCAGCAACTGTAGTGTGTCAGGTGATATTTACGTATGTCTTTCAATCCACATCAACTGTAGTCTGTAAATACTAATACCCGGTAGTTCATTCATCGAAGTTGACAGGCTCATTCACCATCATTGAACCATATAGTAAATGTAAAGGAAGGAGTGTTGATATAATATTCCTTTAGTACATGCTGTAATCGGAGTTAAAACCATGTATCGGTGTGATTTGTAAGACGAGCATGCTTCTCGAATTCCCATGGGGTGAATGAAAGGACTTCTCACTTCTCTGCTGCTGTTGTTCAGTTCAGATTATGAGGAACGCATGCATGGATGCAGTGCAGTTGCAGGTTACGAGGAAACGGCTAGTAGGCCAACTTTAGTTCCCCCTAGCTATTTCCAATAGAATTCCATCCCATTTTCTTTTCCAATGTAGTTCCCACTTCCCACTAAATCGACACTTATAAAAGGAAAGGACCCCAAATCCCCAATGCAAATAGGGCTGAAACTAGAGTATCTTCCATTATCTCCAAATCAACCATTGGGAGTGCAGAAAGATAAAGCCTAGAAATAGTAACTCTTGGTCTTCTGAAAGATCTTGGCGAAACAAACATTTATTGCAGTCCAACAGGACTGGCTAGTTCTTCAAGATAAATTAAGCATGCAGATAGATCATTGGGGCTGTTGATGGCTGGCATGCTAGGGGTTTGCATTCTCCATGAAGTCGGTGCAGTTTCGGCATCGGCAGTCGACGAATCTGCAGATGAGGCACCCAACACAGGAACAAATTGTGCAGCCTCTGCAGTATGAAGCCCTTGGACAGCCTCTGTACTTTTTCCTGCTTCCCCTCTCCTCTGGATCACCGCACGTAATCCTGCAAATTTTCGTTTATGTGAAACGTGATCGAGAAGTCGATTATTCCATCCATTCGAGGCACCAACAGGCCGAACGCGAGATCGAGTTACATTACCTGTCGTAAGGCCTATCAGCACATTTCCAAGTAGACTTGGCGAGAAGAGCATCATGGTAGACCCTGCAGAGCTGCTTGGTTCGGAGCCGAAACCTGCGCTGCTTGCCGCAGCCGGAGCAAGGGATGAACTCGTCGCGATGAAACTGTCGCCTCACGGTCCCACTCGCGCCATTGGCAGCGTGCTTGTAGTACTTGAACAGCTCCGTCCTCCACATCGCCACCTTCTTGCCGTCCACGGCAACCCAAATGTGGCTCTTCCACTTGCTGTTCCCCTGCCTCCTGGCATGCTTCTCGAAATCGTGCGGCGTATATTGCTCTGCATTGATTGCATGGGTGAAAGCAACGGTTTAACGATGCATTACAGATTAGCTTAAAGAACAATGACGTTACTAGCTGCTACGTACTGGAACTGTCGCAGGAGTTGCAGTGGCAAGTGATGAGGAACTGGCCGGAGGAGTAGACTCTGAGGACTCCGACGCAGTCTCCCAGCCGCTTGCTGGTGCAGCCGCAGTTGACCTGGATGTGGTCCGCGGCGGGGCGGCAGAAGCCGTCCATGGCTCGGAGCTGTGGCTCGAGGAAGAGGACTTCCGAGTACTCGACTGGGACTTCATGCATTCCTGCTTCCTGTAGTGCTGCATTCATCTTGGAAGTGGCTTCATCCCCATCTGTACTTAATTTAACAATTGTTTAGTTACATGCATTGGGATACAACAACACAAGCCAATGAATCGACTGGATCAATTAATTAAGTCGTAGCCATCAGGAATTAAAACATTGGAATTTCAGAATTCAAAGGGGCAATTGCATTACGGGGTCGTTTGGATGTGGAAATGTAATGCACTAATTGGACCCAATTACCACATAATGCAGTAATTGGGTTAAAAATCCATGTTTGGGAGAGCAAAAATGGTATGGAAATTGGACCATGGAAATTGGCTTCAATTACCACATTCATGGTAATTGAGAATACTACACCTCCCCCTAGTAATTTGACATTACCACGTTTCCTTACTTCTTTTTCCAAATTTCACACCATCAATTCCCACAAAACTAAACCCTATCCAAACGTGAATTTTTTTCAATTTCCACAAGTCAATTCCTTGGTTTTGTAAAACGTGGAAATTCAGACAAATTTCAACGATTTAAAATTTCCACAAGGTTTATAGAGGAAAACTTATCTTTGAGGTAGCATTTGCTTGAAACATGCTAGAAAGTTGCACACATATACATTTGTAGGCTTGTTAAGATCGGTTTTTAGGATGTCATGAACATAAATTAAGTTGAGCAAATCCATATGGGCCGACTTAATTTTTCCTTTTTACTTGTGCTATACAAGAAGATGTGTGATACGGCGAACAAGAGTTTGGTCTGATAGTCAAACCATTAGCTTTCAACAAAAGAGTCTAGATTCGAATATCTTAAGTATCACAAAAATAATATAAACGAATCTATATCACCCTTATAAAAAAAGAAGATGCTCGATATTTTCTTCGCATAGTTTTTTTTTTCTTTTTTCTTTCACTGTCTTTCTTTTTTCCCTTCACGTGTAATTTTTCAAAGTTGCCCCTCTTTTTTTTTTACACGTATGTTCTGGTTTTTCATTTTTCATATTTGCATTCAACACCAAACACCTGCTCAGACTTCCTCACTTATGAAGTTCGTGGTGGTGTCTTGTTTTCCCTGCTCTATGTTTCTTTATATCTTGTTAGTAATATTCATCATTTCGTCGCACAATTACGGGATAAATGTGTAAATCAAACGATTACTCCAATCAAAAGACTCATGAACTAAGAAAAAGTTAATCTGGAAAGAGATCAAATCGTGAAGCATTAAAAGAGTAAATTGGATAGATTCTGCATAGAACTTAATCTGCTTCAAAGATAATACATACCTCGACCCATCGCATATCAAGTTGAAAGTAAGAAATCCCTTTCTGTATTATCTTATTTCATTAGATACCTTGGCATGAAAACTCTTCTTTGCGGGTCCCTGACGAGTGATAAGAGTAAAAAGACCGCAAATGATTCTGCACACCCTAAAACTTTTCTTTTAAATCTTTCAATGTTTTTTCAAATGGTCTGAGTTTCCTTAAAATTTACACCATTTCCTTGCATGTAGTCCAGGTGTTTGGAATTTACTGCCGAAATTTAAAGCAAGTTAGTGGAAAATTAATTTCTTTTCCAGACTTAGTCTAATTCGAACGTTGAAGCGTATATACTATATTGTAAAAAGAGCGTATATGCTATATGGTAATATCACAGAAATAAAAATATGATTATTTTGCAAACATATCATTTTCCTTTTATTATTATAGATTTCACCCTCTACATATATTCACTATGTGAATTAATCATGACAATTAAAACAATCAATAGATTTTTTATATCCTATAAAAAATTAAATAGGTTTCATATTTGAAATGGCAAGTTATCATTCACGTCCATATTTGAAAAAAACAATTATGAAAGTAAAATAATATTTGTTCAAATTATGTACAGAGCGTCATGACTCATGACATAGTACTGTGAACAAAAACACGCTAATGCACACATCTGATTCACCTGTCAAAGAAATATCTCATAGAAGCGGTCTCCTTAGTGAATCATTCTCAACATATATGACTTTGTTCACACTAGTGTAGTCCGTGTTGTAAGAGGCATGACTATATATTACACAAGATGTTATTTGAAAACATCTGTTCATAACCTGCGTGTTTGCTCTATCTTCTAGGTTGAGTAGAGACATGTTGTTGAAGGTTTTCAACTGGTTTGGAATGTTGAACACCATCAAGCTCACATCACTACACGAAAGATAAGATGTGTTTCTAGTTTCTACTCCACATGCAATTGTGGCAGGGCTAGATTGTGGCAAGCGTAGGAGTTCTAACTTCACTACTAACTAAGAGATCGTCGAGTCGCTTATCAAAAAGTTAGGAGGTTACAACAAACAAACTTGACACACATGTAAAACCACTCAAGTGGCGGACCCATAATTGTCGGAGAAGTGTGTTGCCGATAAAATAAGATAATAATTAAAAAATTAAATAAAAATTAATTCATATAAAGTTCATCATGTTTACAACGAACTACCACGACTTTTCATGTCATGAAATGCCTGTAAAATACATTCATCGCTTATGTTGCGAAACAAATCCTTTTCAATGTACACAACTAAACAATTATTCATAAATTAGTCACTCAACCGATTTCGAAGTTCATTCTTAATTATCTTCATAGCTAAAAATTTTCTTTCGCAGCTTGCAATTGCGACAGGTAAAGTCAACACCAACTTCAAGAGCAAGTAAAACTAAATAATAAAAGAAAAGGGGGATGTGGGCATGTGGCAGTGGCTCTCGGTAATTATAAACTAAAACGGGGCAACGGTGAGTTTTTATTTCATTGTTTATTTCAATAAAAGAAGGGTCAATGGTTGGAAATGGTGAGTTTCAAAGGGTGGAGTTATGTTTGTTTTCTTTTATTGTTGTGTTGTGGTGTGGGCTACTTTAAAACAAACATACTTATTTGATTTTACTTATTATTGTTTATTACTCATTAAGATAAATAACTTTATAACAAAAAAAAATCATTCTCGTATAATAAAGGTGTGTTGTCACAATTATTTGAGGCGTGTCGGAAGTCTCGAATTAAAAACAAAATTGTACAAAAAAATATATAGATCTTTCACAAAATTTCCGGACCCGGGGGTCATATTTAGTATATCTAAATTCGAAGAGACGTCATCACATACATTGAACCATGATCGTACTTCTAATTCGTTAATTTGTCTAATGTAATGGGTTAGCTATATATCTCATATATTTGTTCTAGTCCCAATCAAATTTAAAAATCTAAAAATTTATTTAAACGAGGGTGATACCCTAGAATCTAGATAAACAATATCCGCTGCCACGGGAGGAGGCATCGGCCGGATGAATTGATTAGCATTTTGCTGAATTCTGGAAGAGTGAAGGATGAGGGCATTCTCTCCTTGCCCACTTCTTGCTTTTCCTGCTCTATCTGCAACAGCTTCCTTGGCCGCCATGAAAGTTAGTTCCAACGCTCAGCTTCCCGTCCTTCACCATGACAGCCCTTTCGTTCAAGAGGTAACCGCAAAAATGGAACTTCTCCCTTCATAATCTATCGTTCACTGTGAAATGCTGAATGCAATGAACTTTGAAGACGCATTTTATTCTTAATGAAACGAGGCAAATGTAAATTTAGTAGCTCTGACACGAAAGATTGTTGCTTTGTGAGATATCTATCGCGGCTTGCAAGCTCTAGTTGAAGGCGAGGGATGTTTCTGCATTCATGGTGTTTGTTGTTTTGTCCCAATGAATTTTAGTTTCACGAAATTCGGGATGGTGTTGTGGTCCGTAGCTCGTTGTTTCCAGTAGAAATGGAGGAATTAAAGAGACGAATTTCCCTTTGAAACGATTTGATATTAAGTTTCTGAGTTATGCTTTGGTCAAAAGATATCAAGTTTATTCTTTGCACCAGAAAGGGTATACATTCAACCTTATTAAAGGCTTAGACGTGATTCGTATTAGCTAAATTCTGTACTGACCTAATGTTTTGGGAAGTAGGTTGTCCAAGCAGTCGATGCACTACACTCGGAGTTCAGAGCTGTGGATAACTTGGTGGCACGTAACTCCTTTCGTGTTCTCAAAGCTTTTCAGAATGCTCGAGTTGGATCTCATGTAAGTAACTTGGATTCAAGTGAGTCTGATTAGATTATAGTGCACTTTGTGGTTTTTCTCAAGGCTGTCTGGAGCGGTGTACTATGTCTTTTCCAGATCATGCTATGAACTTCAGAAGCTTCCCTATCTTGTTTACGAAAGTATAAAATACGAATTATGTGTTTATCCCTAATTTCGGTGAATGCATTTTTCCCTGTGGAATGATCATTATTTGGTAAATGGAATCATATGTTTACATATGTAGTAGTCAAGTGCCAAAATTGTCAATCCGACCCTTTGATTCTGGAGAGAGAAACTTATGGATCAGAAATAAAAGGAATTGAAGCGGAAAGAAATGAGCAAAGATTGATGTTGCTAGGTGAAGATAAATTAACTATTTCCACCGCAGCAGTGTTTCACAGCTAGTTCCCAGAAACCAATTGCAAAAGAAAAATCTTCTTCGGCTCTGGATGACTATGCAGTATGCAGTTGCTAATAGTAATGCTTATAACCAGCATTTTAGTGGATCTACTGGCTATGGCCATGATGAAGCTGGAGGACGAGAAGCACTGGATCAAGCTTTTGCTGAGATAGTGGGAGCTGAATCTGCAATCGTCCGGTCCCAGGTTATCTTGTCTTTCCTTCTCTTTTCTGCCAAATGCATCTTTCAACTGTTTTTCATTACATAATTTCATGTAAAATAGTTATTAATCCTCTTCCTTTCATCACTAGTTTTTCTCGGGGACCCATGCCATCACTTGTGCTTTGTTTGCATTTCTGAGGCCAGGTGACGAGGTTAGCTTCGCATTTGAAAATTTCAGCACCATGCTCTCTATAGAAAAGATTGTCTCTGTTACTCTGATTGTGCTTTGTGGTTAACTGAGCTGCAGACTGGTTGAATTTGATTCTTTTCAGCTTTTGGCAGTTGCTGGAGCGCCTTATGACACATTAGAGGAAGTCATTGGAAAGAGGGATTCTCATGGCATGGGTTCACTGAAGGATTTTGGAGTGACATACAGAGAGCTTCCTGTATGTTTCAATTTTCCTTGGAACAAAAATTATTGAATTAAAAAAAAAAACACAAACTTAATCTCTTGCTACTGTTTCCAAGCTTGCTGAAAATGGTGGCCTTGACTGGGATGCACTTGAGTGTGCTGTGAAACCTCACACAAGATGTGCACTAATACAGAGATCTTGTGGCTATTCATGGCGACAAAGTTTAAGTGTGAATGATATAGGGAGGGCCATTAAGATGATAAAGGTAAGAAATTTGAAGATTACACTGCTTACTGTCATATTTTGTTTGATGTGTTTGAAGGTTCTAAGCAAGTAGTTACTTTTGAAGTTGCCATCTATTGCTTTCAGACTGCTATTTTAATTATTGGAGTGAGGTCCTGGTGATGATCTTTCTATAGAGTTTACAGTTGTGCTTGTCATTAGGCTTAGTTCTGATGGTTTCTTTGTCTCAAATGATATACTTCTTGGGATGGTTCTTTTATGTCATACTTGGTTCATTGTTTGGTAGAACCTTCCTACTTAAGTTTCACCTTATCTCTATCATCTACACACTGAAGTGTTTTACTTCCCCTTTGTCTAGTTTAGTTTCTTTGTTTTGCGCTTTTTAATGTTATGTTTGTTGATGCATTTGCATGCGATGCAGATACAGAATCCTAACTGCTTGGTTATGGTTGATAATTGCTATGGTGAATTTGTTGAAGGAATTGAACCTCCAATGGTGGTATGTATCCTTTTTTTTCATCTGAAAATCAAAAAGAGATATTTTCTTTCCTGAGCAGTTTTTCTCTGCAGGGTGCTGATTTGATGGCGGGTAGCTTGATTAAAAATCCTGGTGGGACCATAGCTCCATGTGGTGGATATGTTGCAGGGAAGCGGATCTGGGTAGAAGCAGCTGCAGCTCGTCTCTCGGCTCCAGGGCTTGGAACTGACTGTGGCTCAACACCGGGGGACATAATGCGAGCTTATTTTCAGGGCTTATACCTTTCCCCTCAAATGGTTGGTGAAGCAATCAAGGTACTCAAAATTTTCATGCCTGTTAGCTATGTTCTATGCATTCTTCTGCTTGCAAAGTACCAACATTGTTTTAATTTTGCTTTCGCTGTAAAAAGGGAACCTTTCTAATTGCTGAAGTCATGGCATCAAAAGGATTTAAAGTGCAGCCTCTACCACGTGCCAGTCGACATGATACAGTTCAAGTGGGTACTCCAATTTGAAGTTTTTCTTGTTTTGAAAAGTACTCTAGTGCCCTTACCCAGAGTATGATGTATTGATGTTTTGGAGATAAATAAGTTGTGTGGCTTGATTTTCCAGGCTGTGCAGCTGGGGAACCGTGAGAGTCTCCTTGCATTCTGTGAGGCTGTGCAGAGAAGCTCACCGGTTGGCTCATTCACCAAACCAGTTGCTGGTTCAACACCTGGATATGCATCAGAGGTCTGTTCATGTTACGTGTGTACTAAGTCTCTTGCTTACTATTGGTGTGTTGCAATTGATTTCAGTACTATACTAATTGATATATGCTGTAGTACTGGAATTTCTGGACTATTATCCCTATAAGCATGGTAGTGTATATACATTTACTGGATGGTAGTGCAGGCTGTTGCAACCTGCAAAATTGTATGCTAAGCTGCAACAAGGCATCATTTGGGTTAATGAGTTGCTAGAAGGATTTATATGTGTTGTTACGGTTAGTTACATATGTGTTCTAACATGGAATTCTGTTTGCTAGGTGATTTTTGCTGACGGGACTTTCATTGATGGGAGTACAAGTGAATTGTCATGCGATGGACCTCTAAGAGAACCATTTGCTGTATATTGCCAGGTCGGCTCCATTCCTTCTAGTGAGGGTTGATTCCGAACGAGAAAGATCAATTGATTAAACGGCTAAAAGCTTTATTCTTGTGACACAGGGTGGGACTCACTGGACCCAATGGGGCATAGTTCTAGGTGAGGTCTTGAAACACATTTGATATCAATCCTGAGCTTCTGATCAATCAGTTCTTCGACAAAACCGCCAAGGGTATGAAGTCCGCGCTTTGCATTGGAGATCAGTACATTCTGCGGACTGCTGCAGAGTTTTGGGCAGCTTCCACAGCTGAGCATGCAATCTGTAGCAGCGGTTAACAGTCACCATATGTGGTAATCAGTTCTTCCCATTCTGGTGTGTTATGCTTACCCACCCCGAGTTCATACTCGGCCTTCACTTTGAGAACTGTGAATGGATGTGCCTTTTCAAAACTGTGCAGATTGACATCGTCAGTGATCGATGATCTCTCTTTTTCTGCTACCATGGCTGCTTTAGCTTTGAAGTTTACCAGGCCATTCTTTCTATTACCAAGGATCACTTAGTCAGCCTTTTGGTTTGCTAGGGTCTTTAGGATGTAGTTGCATAGTAAATCTACTCCTGTTGAGGAATGCTTTTCAAATTGTGTAAACTTCTGTTATGATTATTGTTAGTAGGAGTTAATGCCAATTCTGGTCTTGTATTATGAGTTGTGAACTCTTTCCTCGTCTTATGGGAAAAGTTCCCCTGCCCCAGACTCGGTCCTTAGCCCACATTGAGTGTCATGGCATTGACATGTCCCTCTCGCAGTGCACGAGCATACGTCTTACTGGACTTGGTGCACCGTGCTGTAACCTAGCCTCATAGTCTTACAAGTTGCAGGGTTCCTCGACGTAAGGTGTGGGCACCAGTGGCCAGTGGGAGTGAGTTTTGGAGCAGTGATGACTGCAATTAACAGGAGTCGGACTAAAAGTGCCTCCGAGCAATTATTTTCACGACTGGGTTTCTATCTGCGGTGCGTGAATCGTGATTGTAAAACTTACGTGATGCAAAGCCTGCATTGCTGCATCTCGATACTTTGTGGTATGGAATGCTGGCCTAACTAAGCATCAAAACAACAGGTTGGCCCATGCTAGATGCGAATCGACTGTGACAGCTACTTCCACCACTACGAAAAGTTTGGTTCCTTGGTTCTCAAACTCGATAGTATGCATACGAATGACTCAAGATTGAGTGTCGAGATATCTCAGAATTATCGTGCACAATCGGATGAAGATATTAGTGTCAAATAGCCAATATGATGAGATAAACTCTAAACTCAATAGCTACCCTTGACTAGAAAAGAAACACAGCGACCAATCTGATAAATTCGTAAGACTAAAGAGTAATGGCCAGTATCAAATTCAAATATCTGAAGCACGAGGGGGCCACGGCCTACCTACAAAGCCCATGACTGCAAATCTGCAATTCTGCAAATCATTTTGGTTCGGATTAGCTACGAATGAAATGAAATCCACAAAACAAAAACAATATCCGTTGTCATTATAATTTATAAAGCAGTTCTTTCTCGACCCTCTCCTTTTTCGCAATGTCATCAATACTGCTTCAAGCTCCCGTCCACTTCTCACCTCTCAACTCCATACCCTCGGATTTCCCCGCCAAACCCGCCTCCTCCATCTCTCCGCCGTGTTTAAAGGTTGTCGCTTTTGATCGAAAGAGGCTCAGATTAGAACCCTGCAGGGGAACAAGGGGTTTTCTCGAACTGGGTACATGCAAAGATGGGATTTTTGTGAAAGATGGAAGAGGGAGAAAGAATAGCGATAGAGTGGTTCTGGTGAGGTTTAACCAAGGTTTCGGCGGCGGCGGCGGGGGAAGTGGTGGCGGCGGCGGAGATAATGGCGGCACTGCCAGGATTCTGGGTAATCTTGCTTTGGCTATTGGGCTGACTTATCTTTCAATGACTGGCCAGTTTGGTCGCGTCTTCGATGCTGTTGGCTGGGTTCTCGATGCCGTGATTTCTCTTTGGGTATTATATACTTAGAATCTCTGAAAGAATTTCTTTCGCATTTTTAGTAATTCAGCTTCTTAGTCTGTTTTGGATTGTTCGTTATTGCAGCTAATTGCAGTGATTCTACCAATTGTGGGGGTTGGGGCTTTCCTATGGTGGGCTGGAAGGGATATGCTTCAGAGCTCTGTAATAAATTGTCCATTTTTCGTAACTTGATTTTGCTGTAATTTCATGTTGGGAACTTTTCGGAAGGAGAGTTCATTGCTTGATTCGTCTCTGTATCTCTGTTTTATGTGGCAGTGCCCAACTTGTGGAAACGAGTTTCAGGTTTTCAAGTAAGGGCCATTTTTTAACCATCATTCATGGGCAGAGTTGGATAGATTGTCTCAACTTCCTCATGAAAGTTTGCTTACACCGTTCTTCTCTGTCACCATGTGCAGATCAACACTGAAAGATGAGCCGCAGATGTGCCCCTTTTGCAGTCAACCATTTTCAGGTGAGAACAAATTTTCTGATTTGTTATGATCGTCTCGTTGAATGAAAGAAAATGTTACCTCCCGTTTGGCTTACTAAAGCACAGTTATATGTTTCATCTGCTATTTTTACACGCACTTTACCTGTCCTAATCCTGAATGAACTCTCTCGACAGTGGAAAATGACAAGTTTGTGAGAGATTCTGTCAAATCCTCGAACGAATCCACATTCTTCGGGGAAGCATTCAGCAACTTCTATTCGGGTTCTGATAAAGGTAAAAACATGTCTCGACTTATCTCTCCGTATGTTAATGTGACGAATCATAGCTGGTTGGCATGTGAAGCTTCGTTCAGAAAATACTGGGATCTTTGCCTTGTCCTATCTCGTGGTTTTGAGCACCAATTTATGAATCCTACTGCGCTGGTTATCGACTTATTGCATTAGAAGCTGACACCACATTTGTGGGTTCTTGCAGGAGGGAAGGATTCATCTTCCTCTGCAGTTGTTGACATCGAAGCAGAAGTAAAAGATGCAGACTGACTTGACTGGCTATGTCAAGTTCTAATTGAAATTTCACCGCATATATTCACTTCTCCAGCAGCCCGGGAATTATAGTTGTTTCATCAGATGAGATTCTCCAAAGCAGCTCATTGTGCAACCAAGAAATGCATATATGATTGTGAGCGTTGCTGGTTGAAGTAGCAATGCGAACTGCACTTTGCTGCTGCTACTGTTTACTGAGTTTTGATGATCAATCCCGACAATGTATACCATGTATTCAAACGTTCACACCGGTACGTTTGTTCATCGTTCTAGTTGGGTTTACAATAATAATCCATGTAATCCAAATCATTTATAATACACCACGTAATTATTTTGTAATCAGCAAACAAAAGCACGATTTCGTTGTTAGAGATTAAGGAATGCTTCAAAATCCATTACACGGTCGAAAGTGAAAGAACTAGCAATGAGTTCTATCATGCAGTTCCAGAGTCACATGCAACTTTAAACCTCCCCTGAAAACTCAAGTGCAGAACAAAAACAGGAAACTTTAGGGAATGATAACCGTTCTTTCGTCCGTTCGTACGATAACGAACAGGAGTGCTGGTTCTCCACATCAGTGCTGGTTCTCCAACCTTCTTCTGAAAAAAACAAGTTGCAGCAGCTGTTTAGTGATCTAGCACTCCGTTTCAACTTCGCTGTTGCTTCGATAGAACGTTCATCTTAATTTCACGGCATAAGAGTAACACAACATGTAACTAAGGTAATAGTAACGATAATTTACCTCATCGTTCTTGTCTTTCTTGCCGCCTGTAAAGAACTTGCAACCTCCATAGATGGCCAATCCCCAGCCAGTTAGATTGACAATAACGAACTGCAAATACAATAGCAGCAGTGCTTAGTATACAAACCAGAGTAACCACACATTCCATCAAATTATTATGATGACCATTTCAACTCTTATTAAATCTTCTCGACACCCAACTTACAAACCCAGAAAAGTCAAACTCTCTTCTTTTCTTTTATTTTTTTGGAAAATCTTTTCTTTTAGTACACACTGGCCTTGCTACCAAACCAATTGAATTTTCGTTTACCAGGACCTCGTGCTCGTCTAGACTTGGCGCCCACGGCAATTGCCGGGCGACAGTTCCTGCTTCCATGGCTGTCGCTTACCTTTCCATTTCAAAGTCAAGACTCCAAATTACTCACAAGGGTTGCCGTGTCTAAGTATTCGTCTCCACATCCCATACTCCAAACTCCCAAGTAAGAGTATAAATCGACGGGCCTCTGCCTCCCATTCCTACCAACAAACCTCATTCTATCCCCTCCAACGGAAAACAGAGCACTCTGTTTCATTTCTCCCAAAAACCATGGCTGCCTCGACTTCATCAGCATCGTCACCAGCCGTATCCAACATCAGAAACACCAAGGCAATCCTGTCCACTGCAGCCTCCATGGCTGCCACCGTCATGCTCGCTCGATCTCTAGCACAGGATTTCATTCCCCGGGAACTTCAGGACGCTCTGGTTTTCAGAATCCGCAAATTCCTCAGCCACTTCTCGTCCCAGCTCACCATGGTGGTCGACGAATCCGATGGTCTGGTCTCCAACCAAATCTACGACGCCGCCCAGACTTATCTGGCCCGCAAGGTCAGCTCATCGACGCAGAGGCTCAACGTCAGCAAGCCCGACAACGAAACCCAGATCCATGTCCGGGTGGAGAGCCGCGAAGAGGTCTGCGATGAGTTTCGCGGAGTGAAATTCAAATGGGTCTTGATCTCGAGGCGGATGCAGTCGCCATTTTCTCAAGGAAATCGCGGTCCGATGGGATCCGCATTTCCCTCGGAGGTCCGGTCTTTCGAGGTCAGCTTCCACAAGCAGCACAAAGAAATGGCTCTTCAATCTTACTTCCCCCACATCGTGACCGAGGCGAAATCAATCAAGGAAAAGAGCAAGACCCCCAAGCTTTTCACTCTCCAGAATCTGTACGGCAACAATTCCGATACCTGGGCCGGCGTGAATTTGGATCATCCCGCGACATTCGACACTCTGGCTATGAATACAGAGCTGAAGAACACGATCCTCAACGACCTCCAGCGGTTTGCTAGAAGGAAGGACTATTACAAGAAAGTGGGAAAGGCGTGGAAAAGAGGGTACTTATTGTATGGTCCTCCTGGAACCGGTAAATCTAGCTTGATTGCTGCAATGGCGAGCTATCTCCGATACGATGTCTACGACTTGGAATTAACCGAGCTGAGGGGAAACTCCGAGCTCAGGAGGCTGCTTATCGCAACCCCAAATCGGTCCATATTAGTTGTAGAGGACATCGATTGCACGATTGATTTCCAGGAACAATCAGCTGATCAGCCGGATTCTGGGTATTGCCAGCAAGGAGGAATGCAGATGACGCTGTCTGGGTTGCTGAATTTCATCGACGGGTTGTGGTCTAGCTGTGGGGACGAGAGGATTATAGTGTTCACTACCAATCATAAGGAGAAGCTGGATCCAGCGTTGCTGCGGCCTGGAAGGATGGATGTACACATCAATCTGTCTTACTGTACTCCTTGTGGGTTTAGGATTCTGGCTTCCAATTACCTTGGTCTCGAGGATCATAGCTTGTTTTCTGAGATTGAAGAGCTGATCTCGACGTCGGAGGTGACTCCAGCTGAAGTGGCGGAGCAGCTGATGAGGAATGACGATGAGGCTGATTGTGAGGGAGTGCTTGTTGGGTTGATTGAGTTCTTGAGATTCAAGAAGGAGAAAGCAGGGGAGGTGGAAGAAATTGGCGATCAAAATGAGGAAGAATTCGTGGGAACTGTTGCTGGTAATCGGAGTAATAATTTTAGAGGAAGGGGAGGGAGAAGGGGAAGGGGTATGACCCGGCGGCTCAATTAATTGCTAACTGGCTTAGAGCACCAATTGACCGGAATTTTTGGATTTGTTATTTATTAGATTATTTTAATATGATTTCTGGAAATTTTGCATAATTAATTTTTTTTATAAGCGTTATATCGCACGATCTATTGTTTGCGAAATTCATTCTGATTTAGCAATCGAACTTACAGTTTTCAAATTGAAAACCAATATCACCCGGTGCCGATTCACTAGAAATTAGGGCTGGGAAACGGTGTGATCTGGTTCAGACCGGAGTATATATGCGGTCTACGGTTCAAACCGAGAGGTTAGAGTATAGACAACATATTATACGGTCCAGACCAGACTACGTTTGTGTCGTTTGGTCCGGTACGACTTGGTCCAGATGGACCACAATGAACGAAAACTGAACAATTTAATTTGTCAACTACACAAAAAATTGAGCCAATAGTTAAGAAAAAAATGTTTTATTTCCTTAAAACATAAATTCCTACCTGCATGGATAATTTTGACACCATATATCTCAGTAAATAATAAAGATACAAAGTCAAAACATCTCAAGTTGCACCATAACGTCTTTTTTTGTAAGGGTGATATAGGTTTCATTTTTGTGATTAAGGTACTACTTAAGATATTCGAACCTGGGACCTCCAGGTTCTAGGCTCCTTGTTCATTTGCACCATAACGTCATAAACATTTACATAATATCATATGGAGACATGATCGTCTCTACTCTCTAATGAAATGTGGTTGTGAATGAAGGAGGGGACGGGATTCTCAAATTAAGATTGAGACTTGGGTATCGTTGTAGGAGTTGGGAGAGTGGTCGAGTGGGTTGCTAACACATATTGAGAAGTCTGTTGGGTCCACGGTTTGATCCAGTAAATCGAGGTCTAGACCAGACCAGATCAATAAATCAAAACATCATATAATGCAAACCATGGACCAGACCAGACCATACTTAACGGTCTACGGTCCGAACCAAACTGTGCGATCCAATTTGGACCATGATTTTTCAAACGGTTTGGTCTATTTTCCCAGCACTAACTAGAATTGAAATTTATTTGTCCATAGTCCATACTAAAAATGAAAAATTAATGTATTAAATATCCAAATCAAATAGTTAAATACTATTTGGGCTTTGAAATTGTATACAAACTTGGATGGGCTTCGGATGCAAATCATGCAATGATATATCCTCTTGCTAGCGAGTTTGTCACTACTGTTGACGTTTTCCAAGTCCAACTCGCTCTCGCGTCTCTTGCCCCATCTTTTCTCATCGTCGCAATTCGCACTTTCTCAGCATTTAATTCAGATCCGAAAGCTTGATCTCGTTCGAAGCTCTCTGCCAAGGTGAGTCTAGGGTTTCCTTCTTCTCGTTTCCGTTCGCATCTTTTTTATCGTCAAAGTTGTTCGATCTGTGTCCTTCAATCTTTTCGACGTACCTTCAATTATTCTACTGCCACTCGTTCGTAGTTTGAGTGGATGATCGGTTCTCCTTGTGATACTGCGTAGCGATTCTGCAATAGTCTTGGAGTGATTCCGAATTCGATCCAATTGGATTTCTGTAGAGCCTGGTTGATTGTATAATTTTGCTGGAAGTATGATATAGCTTAGGGTTTCGTCCTCGGTGCAATCTAGTATGCTTGTTCTAGTAGTGAGAGGTTGGTCTGCTAGTCGCAGTGCTATGTGGTGTTTCTCTCTCTTGTTTATGAAGAATAGAGCAACTTGTTTATCTTGATTTCTATGCTTGGTGTAGAGTGTTTCCTTTTGTGGTTTAATTTACAATTCTGTTGTTCAATTTTGAGATCATTCATTGAGTTGATTAGGGCCTCTTCCTCCCCCTCGAGTTGAATACTTGAATGTGCTGATTCGAAGTAGTTTGGGGGTTCTTCCTCTTTCATTCATGCTACCGGATCAGTTACCTTCTGGAATTGAGAAAATAGTTTCATACCTGTATCCTGATGCCTCTTTGCTGCTTAATTCGAGTAATGCTTATTGTCTCCTTATCGTTTAGAATGCTTACAGCAGTTGTTTTCTCATAATGGCTTTGTTGTGTTTGATAGTGGCTCCACTGGCTTTGTTGGTTTTTGTTTCTGTTGTACTTCATTGTTTCTGATCGTTGTTTGTTCCTAATTGTTCAGATGCAAATCTTTGTGAAGACACTCACTGGCAAGACGATCACCCTCGAAGTTGAGAGTTCCGACACTATTGATAATGTGAAGGCGAAGATTCAAGACAAAGAGGGGATCCCTCCTGACCAGCAGAGGTTGATCTTCGCGGGTAAACAGCTCGAGGATGGCCGCACTCTTGCTGACTATAACATTCAGAAGGAGTCCACTTTGCACCTGGTGCTACGACTCAGAGGTGGGATGCAGATTTTTGTGAAGACGCTCACTGGTAAGACAATCACACTGGAAGTTGAGTGTTCCGACACTATTGACAATGTGAAGGCGAAGATTCAAGACAAGGAGGGCATCCCTCCTGACCAGCAGAGGCTGATCTTTGCTGGCAAACAGCTTGAGGATGGCGGTACCCTTGCTGATTACAATATCCAGAAAGAGTCCACCCTGCACCTTGCGGGTTGGATCATGTCCTTAAGTCTAAAACTTAAGGCGTTTCTCAAGTTTTTATTGGCCAATAAGAAAAGGAGAGAGAAAGTGAGGTCTAAACACCTAAAAGTGCAAATAAGGTTATATTAATTAAATATTACTATTTAATAGTAAATGAAATTCGGAATTGAAATGGAAATTCGTAATTAATATTTAAAGCTTTAGAAAAGGAAATTCAAAATTCAGAATGTCTACACTCTCTTCCCGTGGCAACTTTTAATAAAATTATTAAAATTTGCAATTCCATTATCAATGTTTAAGAAATGAATTATTATTTATATACGACATCATTGTTAACAATATCGGTATATACTTATCAATGTTTTACGGTTACATTATTAATAATTTTAGTTCAATTGCTAACTTTTACATTTCTGCCATCAACGATTATTAAAGGGTTGAATAATATTATCATGGATTTACAACTTCATTATTAGGAATCACTTTTTAATGTTTTGTGCATAATTAGCCGATCATGGTCTCCTATTATAACTAGCATTGGGCCCGGCCCGTTGGCCGGTGTAGTATATGAACTCAAAGTGTATTTTGTTTTATTCTATGGATAATGAATTACAACGAAAACGATACCATAACAATAAAGTGGAAGTCTCAATTGCACGTTGTATCATGGTGAAACCTGAAACAGATTTTGTTGAGAAATTTCTCTAGAAAGCCATTCAAAAAACTTCTTTCAGGTAAATTTCATGATATTGTATGTTTCTTTATTCCACGATGCACATCTTAGCAAAAACACCCTACTGATAAAGCTGAGTAAAGAACATTTAAAATGTATAAGAAGTGGCAATCTTGAAAGCAATTCTACTTTAAGCCAACAAAATAATCGTCAGACAAAAGTTCAGTGGACCATGTAAGATACAAATCATGAAGGGAACATAAAAGTACGAAGTAAAAGTATTTGAATTGATAACTCCCGGTAAAGAATGAGCATACAGGTTGCAACACGATAATAACCAAAAATTCAAGTTGTTGGTGCCACCACACACAAATCACAAATGCAATATGCTCTTATCCAAAAGTGACACACACTACTACAACCAAGAAAACCACAAAAAATCGAGCTTGGTGCAGCAATAAAGTCATGAGCAATAAACTGGTAAGGTATTAAACTATGTACAATCTAAAAATTCGAATTTTTTAGAAACCACACCATTAACAAACATCCTATAGTTTGGAAAACACATTACTTAACATTAGGTGTGCCCAACACAGACTTTAACTGCAAAAAGCTTCCCGGTTAAGGTTGTCCTTTTTGTGTGTGCCTGCAAACCTACAGAGAACTCACGGAATGGAATGCATGTCCGAGGGCCCCACCTCAAGATTCGAATGGTCCCACTCAGCTCAGGGGATCCCACCCTACTACGAATCCCCCGCCAAGTGATCACTCGATAGTGATTCAATGTGATGGGTCGTTCTTTAGCGACCCCCAGTCGGCGGCTTATGGTGTTGTTGTTGTTAACCACCATGGACAAGTGTATGATGGGAGAGCTGATAATCTTCTTTGTTCCACCCCGATTGAAGCAGAAGCAAAGGCTCTCTTAGAAGGAATTAAATTAGCTCAAGAATATGGATCGGTTTGTACTGTACAAACTGACTGTCAGATGATGGTGAAGGCCCTTAAAAATAGCCAGTCGCGATGGCCCTGGAGATGTGCAGCGTGGATTAGAATAATGGTCAATATTCTTCGGACTAATCCTGCAATTTCGGTGGAAGAAATTCCGAGGTCCTCTAATGTCAAAGCTGATTGGGTGGCACGATCAAAAGCGAGAGATAGGTTACCAGATGACTGGATTAATATTCTTGATCTAATTTCTGCTCTCCTGTAAGAATGTATTTGCCTTGCTTTGCGCTTTTTAAAGGTGGAATAAAAGTTGGTACTACTTGTCAAAAAAAAAAAAAGGTTGTCCTTTTTCCCCGGTTCAAGTTGTTTTTTTTTTTTTGCCATAGGTATCCCACAAGGTGGGAGAGAGCAAGATACGAAATATAAATACAAAACCTTTGCAGGCCAAATCACAAAAAATAAATAAGGAAGAAACGTCGGAGATCCAACGATAAGAGGGCTTTTTTTGCCACGATATGGGCAGCCCTAATATACCTACGCATTAACCAGACTCCATGTATTTGCTTCAACCCTTTTCTGGGCGGAAGTGATGGACCAAACTCCTGTGGTTGTCAAGTGACCAGAAAGCAGCAATTCCCTGCAATTGCAAGTATAACAACAAAATATCCGCGGAGCAATAACACGAATGAAATTAAATAACTAAGGATACAAGTTCAAGATACCCCACACGTTGACTCCCCATCGAAACCATAAAGCCCATATGTCTTTGTCATGACGCTTACACCCCACCTTTACAAGTTGAAGTTGTGCGACATGAATTAGATGATCAACTTCACCTGCAAAACAAACAAATGCGAAAGGCAGACCAAGGCAGCAAACAAATACAACGTGCCACAAGCAATTTCCTGCAAAATAACCAACTTAGCAAAAGTAGACAGGGCCAAGTAGTCAATGCAAAACTCAAGCCCTCCAAAAGGCCCAAAACCACATAGGCTTTTGCTTTACCAATCACTGCCAAAAACTTCCAAACATACTACACCACGGCCAAACTTTTCTTCGGCAAGCAGAAAATAATCAATCATAAAAATGAATTTAATAAAAAAATAAAATATTCAAGCATAAGTCTCTATAAAGCACATCTGTCGACATATGTTGCGCCAATATAAGCATTACGTTATTTATATTTAATTAAATAAAAAATAGTTGTTAATTAACCTTGTTAAATTAATGAAGCTTTAGAAATCTAATAATTATTTCCACCATGCAATAACGATGAAAAAGGTAAGAATTAGAACCTGCATCAAGGAATAAACATAATAGGCTAAGCAACCAGTACAAATCATCAGCATTTAAGAAATTCCAATTTAAACAGTCACAACAACAAACATGATTGCAAGGATGTCAAGTCCTTCCCCTCCCATACCTATATACAATAGCTTTATCCGGAGTAGAGCATGGGTTTCTGTTCTTTTAAGATAGAAAGATAGAGTTATGAGTGATTGAAAGTTATTGCTACCCATCCCCATAATAACTCGTCGTATTAAATGAAACCCATTCCACTAGTAATTAAATTAATCAGTTAATCAGTGCTAAGCACGCGCCGGGGAGAAGAGTAATAGGCGGCGGCGGCACTGTTGGGAGTAGTATCAATAAGCAAGTAACCCAAATGTAGCAATTCTCAATCTCAGATTATGGATTTGATTATACATTAGAGTAGAATAAGCTCCATTTAGAAAAAAGAGATGGAGCATAATATCAAGGAAAAGTCTATGATAGCAGCTCCCGTAACTTCCGATAGCAATTTAGTTAGACAGAACAGAATAGCATGTTGAAATTCAATCCTTTGGATAACCTTAACATTCCGAAGACACAATGATCAATTTCGAAACTAAGATGGACAGGATACGATCTGGACTGTAATAAAACAGTTCTAGGCCAGAAGGCCATAATGCCGCATGAAGCTGGCTATTCCCAAATTGGGATCTAGGTGATTGTAAGAAGACAAGAACCTTTTCAGGAGAGGTTGATAAGACAATGTTAGAATACCTGGGGATGCCCAAATGTTGTCCCGATCGAAAGGGATGACAAGCTACCGTTGATTATCGTTTCTGGAATGGACGCAATAGGGGAAAGTTGGAGGAGAAGCAGCGGTGGAAGGTGGACTGCGTTGGATCTGATGCGGCTACGGCGGCAATAGCGAGGCTCACTGGGGCGATTAGATCCGGTCTAATCTGAGATCCACTTCCTAGATGTTAGCTTTCCAGGCAATGAAACTTCACCAGAATGAGTGGACAATCTGGAGGATCGCTTGGTCAAGATGACACGAAACTCGCCGCAATCGCCTTCGAAGATACAGACCAGAACCGCCGCTCTTTTGGGTCTGAATCTATCGGATTGATTCGCAATCGGGGTAGCCGATTCTTGAAAACCCACCTGCGTAATCACCTTGCCGACAGTTTCCTCCATGGCCTGCTCCTCAATTTCATCGGACAATGCAGCTGGCGGCTCGTAGAGGCGGAACTGTTGGGCTAGGGCCAGCAGCCGGCTCGATCCAGACGCGCTCATGGTTGTCGGAAATGACGACGGCGGTTTGGGAAGAATTGCCGGTAGCTTTGTTCGTAAGAGCGAGATCATGAGATGACAACCTCCCACAGCGGTTGTCCAGTTGAGTTTGGCTTGATTGTCACAGACAGAAAGGGCAGATGGGGAAGGGAGAGAGAAAGAGGGAAGGGAGAGAGAGGAAATGCAAGTGGGGGAGGAGTTGTGTTCACAGACATCCCCGGTTCAAGTTGTTACTTCTCTTCTTCAGGGCCAGAGTCAACCCCATATTTTCCTTTTTTTCCCCGGTTACAGTTGTCCCTCCAATACCATCAATATTTGGATTAGTGTTGCTGGTTTCCTCCAACATCACTCAATTGCTGCAATCAAATTAGAGATATAAGAGAAATTAAAATGAAGCCAATCAAGCTGGTACAATCTTCAAATATACGGAATTGATGAGTTGTTGATATGTCAAAACTAAAACTAAAACGTTAACAATAATTGGCACATTATTATTAATAGCTTGAATAATAATGTGAAGCCTAAAACTTATGTTTTCATCATCAAGAAGTAACTATTAAAGTTATGGCATATTATTATTAACACTTTGAATAATTTTATCATTGATTTACAATATCTTTATTAATGATTCATGTTTGCACATTATGTCCATAACTAGTCAATCATGGCTTTTACAATGACTTCTAATGATATTATTAACTTTTTGCAATTAATTATTAACGATTTACATTATCATTCTTAGCGTGTATGAAGTTAATTTTTATCCATCATTGTTAACGATTTCTCATCATTTTTTATCGTAAACCTCTCAACGTGCGCAACAACATATCACCGAGTGGGAACCACCAATAGGGAGAGGAGAGAGAAGGGAGGAATGTAACTAACTAAAAGGGCAAATGGGGAAGTTTACTTAATTATTTAATGTTATTAATAATTATATTTATTTCTGGAATATGCTTAATTGACTACAAACACGTCACTTACCATTTGCAACAACCGCTTCTCTCTTCGTCCGGAAAAAAGCCCTAATCCCATAACAGTTTCTCTCTTGGTTAAAAGTGGATAAGTTTATGATAATAATCGTGATATGAAATAAACTTAGGATAGTTAATAATAACATGAATCGCTATTAACACAGTTGTACCTCTTTATTGGCGCCTAATACACCTATTAGCAATAGTTGTATAGTACTAAGGTAGGGTATTACTAAACGGGTTCGGCAGTTTGTGAAAAAATAGTTTGCTACATGTGTAGATGTTTACGTTTAACTTTGTTGATAATTGAACTATTTTGATTAAAAAATGAATAAGTTTTTATTAATAATAGTAACACGAAGTGAAAGTAAGGTGTTATTAACACAATTCGGCAGCAATTATTAGCGGCTAGTAGCACAATTAGTAATCTTCATTATGACGTTAATAATGTATAATAATATTGGTTGACGACGTGGTTGAATATTATTAAAATTGTAACGTTATTTTGTTAATAACAACGCTGAAAAACCTCAAATTGAAGGCTTCGTTGATTGTCATAGCGATGTAGTCGTCGGTTAATAATTACCATACTATGATTAATAATAGTATCATTGCCGGAGATGCTCCACCGTGGATGAGCCTCGATGACATCCCCGTATCCACCAACGCCTCTGACGGGAAAAGATCCATGAACACGGAGGGAGTTGACTTGCGAGGAGGAAAATCAGCAGAGTCTCGCTTGGTGGTGGTTGCTGGAAGTATCGAAGCGGCAGCCAAAAAAAAAGAACCACCGCCGGCGACGAAAAGCTTGTGGCGGTGGATTTTGTGGCTTTTGACATCCTTCACAATGGCAAGGGCGCCAATTGAGAGGGATTGGGGGTAATTGATGAGTGCAGTCCTAATTATTGGCTTTTTAATTTTTAATTAATTAATATCATTAATACCCTAATTATTCTTAACCGTCAATAACTACTAGCAATCTATTGATCGCATAAATTTTAATCAACCAATAAGAATGGCTTAAGATAATTCTTAAGTTAGTAGGCTTAAAGACCTGAACCTATCCCTGCACCTTGTCCTCCGCCTCCGTGGTGGTTTCTGACTGAAAGCAGCTTGCTCATGATGGGCTGATGGCGCACATTCGTGATATGGTGAAAATGGTGTCGTGCAAATAAACTCTGAGATTGCTCCCTAGTTTTTCTTTGTTTGAACAGCTTTATATTTGTGGATTGTTGCTAGTTTTCTGTGTCTTTTATCAGCACTGCTTTTGGGTTGCCGACGATCAATGCTTGGTCAGTTGGTCTTTAGGCCTTTGAGTAATGAGATGATGGTGATTTTTGCTCGAAACAGGGGAAATAAAGAGTTGATTTTTGTGTTCGTCTATGCGGTAATTTAGCCATGTCAATGGTATCAAGTATCAACTCTCAACATAAACATGCACCGTCTCTCGCTACTTCTTCGATCTCTCGATTTATTGCTTTCAGCTTCTCCTTTCGATTCGGGACAATCTTTAGTGCTATTTTAGCATCCATATCTAGGGTTCGGTAGAGAAATCGAGTAATGAATAATGATGGGTTGGGACAATTTCTAAGGTCGAGAGGGTTAAGAAGGACGGTTTGAGTGAAGGGTTAGGAATTAGGATTATATGATGTGGAGGCCTTTAATGAGGTGGTGGGTTGGATAATTTTTTGGGTTAAAATAGGTTGATTATATATTTTTGTTAATCACATAAGTAAAAAAATGATGTTGTTAATGGAGGATAATGGAAGGTAACAATGAGAGTGACAAAATAGATAAACACAAATTATTGAAATAATTTTGCATGAAATAAAATATTTGTAATGACAAACATTAATAAATTGAGAAAATTGAAAGAAAATAATAAATATAACTAAATACATACTAATAACAATAATAATAATTATACCCTCGTAGGACTAACAGGGCTGCCCATTTAGTGGCAAAAACGGCCCTTGCATCGGTAGCTCGACAATCGGTGACTACCGTTATTTCCTTTTTACCCAATTGTAATCATCTGTCTATTTACTATCTATCTATGGCAAAAAAAAAAAAAACAATAATAATAATTATTATTATTTCAATAACCGGGGGAAAAAGAAAAGGCAGGCCAGAAGTCAAGAAGAGGAGAGACCGGGGAGGAACGGAGGAGGAAGGCGCTCTGTTGTTTCCGATCTATCTTTCTCTCTTTCCGTTTCTCTCTTCGCAACGACTTTGCCGGTTAACCGGCAAGTACAGCTCATCGGAAGAGAGTCGAAGGAGAGGGGGATTCCGACAATAGAGAGAAGCCAGCTCCTGGTAAACGCGGCGGAGCGGGAAGTTGGAACCGTAAAAGGAACAACCAAATTGACCTCTCCGGCTTGCTATCCTCTTCTGTAGTCTCTTTAATCTCCCGATCGATTTGCTGATTCGTCTGTTTGTTTATCGGCCGCCATGAACGAGAAGGCGAATGTTTCTAAAGAGCTCAATGCCAGGCACAAAAAGGTGTTCTTCATCCCTTATCTCGTTACATTTCCTGTTCGTAGCGTTGCTGAAAGGATTTGCTTCCTTGCTCTGGCCTCTGTGGATCCATTATCGCAGTTTCTATCTGATCTGAGCTCAGATGTCTGGTTTGGAATATCGCTCGCGGATTTGTGATTGATTTCTGACTTGATCTGGGCGTTTCTGCTTGGATTCCTGCTTGTCTCCCTTGATTGTTCTTGATTGATTTAACCTGGATCGGCTAGCCGGTTGATTCCTGTGATTCTTCCTTTCATTTGAATAACTTCGTTCTCTCGTTTGTTGGCTAAGCGGTTAAAAATATCTGGATAGGTTCTTTCACAAAGATATTAATTCTCGAGGAACTCCCTTGAGGTTGGTGGATATAGATTCAGCGTGTAAAACTTGGCTTATATTAAGCCTCTACATTCTGCAGATACCACAACTTGGCTGAAGGCTGGAGCCATCCTTGATATAATTTGGGAAGCTACTTTAGAAACCCGGGACAACTCCTCCGTAGGTTTTGGGTTTAAGTAACGTGTAATAATCTCAGTTTAGAGTTAAATTATTTTCTCAATACCATTGCTTTGATGCACATTGCCTATAACCGACAATTTCGCTGTCTGGGAATTTTAATGCCTGTTTGCTGTTAATCCGTTCTGATTGGAAGTCAGCTGCATGCTCGTTATACTACTTGGTGGGCACAACCTTGAGCATAACTGGATTAAAATAATTACAATGATCCCTGATGAAACAAACAGCTTCAAAACTGTACTGCTTTCACAGATTGGCAGAAACCTTATTGGTAGCCTGTTGTGTTCTTTTTGTGCAGCCTAAATCTCGTGAACTTAAATCGTAATTTGTTTGTGGTTATCCACCTGCGCACATGAAGTTCCTGCATATGCACTGTGACTTTACTACATATCCTCCACTGTCTAGTATTTTCTCATGTTATTGTGTATTGTGCTTTGTTACATTGTAGTTTTGTGTGTAAATTCTTGCTGTCCTTGCTATTTGCTTGTGTCCACAAGTTTTGTTTTCCTTTTTGATATTGATTATTGCTGGGTCAGCAATTAAAAGAAGAAGTATTTTATGTCCTGTCTGATTAAAGCTACACCTGCCTGCATGCAGATCTTGGAAGGCCTTCTCAAATTGCCCGAGAATAGGGAATGTGCAGACTGCAAGGCAAAGTATGCATACAGTATTTCTGTAATAATTATTTGTGTAGTCAATATACCTCAGAAGTTCATAAGAGTTACTTTATACTTCTGCTGCATGTTCTTTGGAAAATTGTTTGGATGCAGGGGTCCAAGATGGGCAAGTGTGAATTTGGGTATCTTTATATGCATGCAGTGTTCTGGGATCCACAGAAGTCTTGGGGTACACATATCAAAGGTAATATTCAGATCTTTCATGCATCATTTTATTAGTGGCCTTCCCGAGACATTATAGTAATGGGCTACTTTTGAACTTTAGCCAAATGGTGTTGTCTTAAGGGAGTATACAATTGCATTACTGCTGGTTGCGTGTTTTACAAATCATCTTCTAGCCATCCAGAAACCTACAATTCAATTGATGCGTCCTCCGTATAGTATTGGAATTTTGTTGTCCACCTTTAATGATATTACTGGTAAAGTCTGCCTCCATCTTCTCATATTAATGTTCTAAATTCACAATAGTGATAAAGATGTGGCCAATGCTGTGTATCTATGGCTTCCAGTGATTGAATTATGTGGAGTGTCTGTGGCATCATATAAAATTTTAACTGTGGGCTATAATAGCCCAAGTAATAGAATACAGTCAGAAATTTTCAGATTGTTGCTCCTTATTTCGTTATTTAGTTTTACATTGGAAGGACCGTGCCACATATCTGAGAGTCTTAGTTCTTACTGTAGGTTCGATCTGCGACCCTTGACACTTGGCTTCCGGAGCAGGTTGCATTTATCCAGTGTAAGTTATATGTGTTTTACCGAGCTTATAATTTGATTTTTTCACTTTCCAGTTTCTATATATTTATTTAATTATTTATCTTCTTCAGCCATGGGAAATGAAAAGGCAAATAGCTACTGGGAAGCTGAACTGCCTCCAAACTACGACAGAGTTGGAATTGAGAATTTTATTCGTGCAAAGTACGTAAGTTAATTTGAGTATGTGGTATCAGTCATTTCTCTTAGTGTCCTGGGCTATTCATTTTCCAATTAAGGGCCTCTGACCTCCAGCATGATTTTGATGCTTCAGGTATGATGATAAGAGGTGGGTACCTAGGGACGGGAAAGCAAAATCTCCTCCAAGAAGACAGGATGAAAGTTATTTGCAAAGGCCAAAGCCAGTTGAAAGAAGTAAGCATGGGCACACTAGCAGCTCCGAAAATTTATTCGAGGGACGGAGGAATTCACCAGCACAAATTTCAAAAGACCGAGTTCCTGCGACAAGAATAAGTATTCCTGTACCTCCCAAAGGACCTGAGCAAGTATCTAGGCTTCCTTGTGTATGTTCCAGTAAGGTTGAAATATTTACTCATTTTTTATCAATTAGCTAATTGCCTAATTGATAATTATTCAAGTCGAGAGTAAAACTGTAAAACAGTGAAGTTTGGTGATCTGAACATGGCGTCTTCTGATGAAAGGCTTCCATTTCTTGTATAGCTTGTGCAATAATGTCTCTTGGATGCTTCATCTGCTTAAAGTTAAAATGAATGATCCCAGAGGGAATCAGGCTTCATCTAAAGGATGTAGTCACTGGACAAATGATGAATTCATTATTTTTAAAGTGGACGGGCAAGTTATGGCGATCTTTTGGAAAGGGTGTTTTAGATTGAGTCTTTGGCACGACTGTTTGGTGAATAAAATTTATGAAATATCCTCTATTGCAAAAGGTGAAGAAGCCTAGGAACATTTCTAAGTTTTGGCTTGATGACTCAAAATACAGCTAACTTTCCATAATGTAATGGAGAGCGCACGAGGTTTTCCATTTGAAATAATTGTTATAGTAGATGTACATCATGATGCTTTATCATTAAACTGTTACTGCTTGAACAGGTTACACCACCTAAGGCTGTCCAGAAAGTTGAACCTGTGGCAGAGCCAGCTGAAGCCGTAAAGAAGGCAGTTGATCCTACAGCAACTGCCACTCAACCTAAGGTTGATTATGCTACTGATCTTTTCAACATGCTATCACTAGAAGGCCCGAATGAGAATGGCTCTGAGGCAGCTTCTAGTGATGATAATGGATGGGCTGGTTTTCAATGTATGTATTCTTGTCTGTATCGATTTGAATTCACGAGCTGATAAAGATGATCCACAAAAGATGGAGAATTCATCTATGGCTCTGTGCAGTTCTAGTCATCATATTGATTGGCTCTTATTTCCTTGTGTGACTGCAATGGTTTTGTTTCCTTGTGGTAGCTGCTGCTGTTGCTGCGGCCACTGCTAATGGAGAAGCATCGATAACTGATAAAGCTGATCCACAAAAGATGGGGTCGAATAACACTCATTCAACCCCTGTTATTGAGGATTTATTTAAAGATGAACCTTCTCTAGCAACATCTTCACTCTCTCAGAAACCCCAGAAGGATGTTAAGACTGACATTATGAGCCTTTTTGAGAAGGTAGGTCTTCATTAATACTTGTATGGTTCAGAAATTTTGTCTGAATCTGCTATGTTATTTCTATCTATATTACACCTGAAAGTCATTTGAAAACAGTATGCTTCAAAACAAATGACAATTGTGCTCATGAATATCTTGCAGTCCAATATGGTATCTCCATATGCTATGCATCAGCAACAAATTGCTATGTTAGCGCAGCAACAATCCCTTCTCATGGCAGCTGCAGCAAAATCAGCTGGTGGTTCTGGTTCCACCAACAGTCAGCAACAACTTGCTCTGCTAGCGCAGCAACAATCCCTTCTAATGGCAGCGGCAGCAAAATCAGCTGGTGGTTCTGGTTCGACCAACGGTCAACAACCCGGGGCCAATGGTATTAATTTGCCAGCTCAAACTTGGCCCAACGCTGGGTACCAGATTCCTGGTTTGATGGTGCCTGTGGCCATGCAAAGCGACGTACAGAAACTTATGCAGGTACTAGTTTTTGGTAGGGATAAAACGTACACAGGGTTGATTTTTTTAAAAAGGAGCAGTTTCGGTTTTCCAAGGGTATTTGTTAAAATTCTGATGCAGAGTTGTTTCTTTTTACTTCCCGTTTTCTTCTGTCAGAGTGGTAATTTAGCAACAACAACACAGCCGATGGGAGTCTCTGCACCATATCCAGCATCTAGGTAGGTACCTCCGACTTCTCTTTGTTTTCCAGATCCTATATTATGTTGGATCCTGATCCTACCATTTTCTGAAACCAGTAATTCTTGGATTGGCTTGTTTTACTTGAGTAACAATGGCAGCACCAGCATATTACAACCTTAGTATCTTGCTTTTTCTTCATCTAGTATATTTGAGGAGTAACAACTAACAAGTGGTCATTTTGTTCTTTCGCATGAGAACATATGCTGTTCCTCTTTATGATTCATCTCGCCCATTATTTCTTTCTAGGGATTTCTCGTAGTTGAGACCTGGGGATGGGTTTCTCAGGTTTCTATTTCTCGCAAAACTTATGTTTCTCTCCATGGGTTAACTGTGGCGTGCAGCTTTTATAGCATGGGACAAGGAACCCCGGTTGTTAATGGGGCGAGCACAACGGCTGGGGCGAGTAAACCGCAATCGGCAACTCCAGTAGTAGCATCCAGCAATTCGTCGCAGACTGGTAAAGAATTCGATTTCTCGTCTTTAACTCAAGGCATGTTCTCCAAGCATTGAGCTCTGGACAGGCCAGTCAAGAGTCATTGGCTTTTGACCAACAGTCTCTACACACATAAGCATGCACCCGCGAAGTTAGAAGTTTGTACACTACACAGCGAAAATAGCAATCTGCTTCCTCTTATTTTTTTCTGGCATTTTCCCATGTCCTGATAACTGTATTGTTGATAAAATGATTGTACACTATTTGTAGATGCAGTTCCCTCCTTTTCTTTGGCTCTGATGTTCTCATTTGTATTTTGAGCAGATTCATTATGAGCAATAAAAAAAAATTATGATGGGCTTTTAGGTTTGCTTTCAGCAAATATTCTTGGATGCCCTCATTTCATTGCAACATATATGAAGGTAGTCTAGAACGCCCCCAAACGGATTAATAATCCGACGTAAAGAAAGAAATAAGCATTAGTTTCGTCCCAAAACGCTTTCAATTCGTGAATTTCCTATGCTCATCCGCGGTTTGATGCTCCAATGCAGGAGCATTGATCCCGACCCACCAATTGGCTTACAAACAGGGTTGATGAATGATGAACAAGGAAACAGGTAGATTGTCCCCGTCAACCAACCCTTAAAACAAACAAACATACAAGCCTTACTTCTGAGAAGTGACGGGTAAGACTGGAGAATCCCTCAGCAGCCAAAAACAAAAACTGAAGCAAAGAAAAGGTGTTGCTGCAAAGCAAGAAATATGGTTTCTACTTCAACACAAAATCCTCCCTCCTCCTAACCATATACCTTACCCTCTAATGCTAACTAATTTTAACGCATGATGTCACCTTTCAAGCTACTCCTCCAGGTCCAAGCAGCTCGCTCTCAAGTTTATGCTTAAATCTTCTTCTTCTTGGTCTGGTATTTTACCAGAACATCTACGTCGATGTTTCAACTGACCCCATGGAAATTAAAACAAAGAAACCACTTTGCTTCAAAGCTTTCTGTATCCCTGATTTGGTCCCACTCCCTCCATCCAACCTACCCACGGCTTTGTTCTGTATAAATAATATTCTTCTCGGCATCCAAGCACTCAAATCATTAACAGCCTGCAGCAAAAGAAGAAGCAGCAGCAGCAGCAGAAGAACAATGGCGATCCAGCACGGTTCTGGGCTCGGACTACTACATTGTGTTATTCTCTTATGCTCCGTCGGATTCCTCTGTTTCATTACTGCAGAAGCTGCTGTGAAGAAGTATCAGTTCAATGTGGGTGTTCTAGCTTCATTTCATTTCCCATTTTTTTACTGTGCAAGCGGCTAATCGATCTCCTAAAAAAAATGTTGCAGGTTCAAGTGAAGAATGTGAGCAGACTATGCAACGCTAAGCCGATCGTGACAGTGAATGGGATGTTCCCTGGACCGACCATTTACGCCAGGGAAGGAGATCAAGTTCTTATTAATGTCACCAACTCTGCACAATACAACATGTCCATTCATTGGTACTACTACTACTTGCCCTTTCTTTCTTGCTGTTTCTTCGATCATCGAGTTCAATAACCCGACATATATCGATTCATTTCTGCATTGCAGGCATGGACTGAAGCAGTTTCGAAACGGTTGGGCTGATGGACCGGCATACATAACACAGTGCCCCATCAAGCCGAGCAACTCCTACACTTACGCCTTCAACATCACAGGCCAACGAGGCACGCTGTGGTGGCACGCTCACATTCTGTGGCTCCGAGCTACGGTCTATGGAGCTATCGTCATTATGCCACAAACACCGGCTCAGTTCCCTTTCCCTCAACCTCACCAGGAAACCAACATCATCTTAGGTGCGTAGTTGTTTCATCCATGCGGGGCATTCTTTCAGCCTGTTTCTACAGTTAACAAATAGCTCACATTTGCAATTTTGGATTTGCAGGGGAATGGTGGAACTCGGATGTTGAAACACTCGTCAACCAGGCTAACCAATTGGGATTGCCTCCACCTTCTTCAGATGCTCATACCATCAACGGGAAGCCTGGCCCTCTTTTCCCTTGCTCCGAGAAACGTACGATCCAGTACCTCGATTACAACCAAACCTGAAATTTGTTGAACTTGTTAGAGAATGAAAAAAAGAAGAAAAAAAACTTAATATGTACTTTTTGTTCTGCAGACACATTTGCAATGGAAGTGGAGTCAGGAAAGACATACCTCCTCAGGATCATCAACGCAGCACTCAACGACGAGCTATTCTTCGCCGTAGCAGGCCACACCATGACCGTTGTAGAGATCGACGCGGTCTACACCAAGCCCTTCGCGACTCGAGCCATACTAATCGCTCCAGGCCAGACCACAAACGTCCTCGTTAAAGCTGACCAACTTCCTGACAGGTATTTTATGGCTGCTAAGCCCTTTATGGACGCGCCAGTTCCTGTGGACAACAAAACCGTGACAGCAATTTTCCAATACAAAGGCATTCCCACCACCATCCTCCCAAAGCTCCCCACTTCATTACCGGCCTCGAACGACACCAAATTCGCCCTCGACTACGCTTCCAAGCTCAGGAGCCTCAACACCGCTCAGTTCCCAGCTAATGTCCCTCTTAAAGTCGACCGACACATGTTCTACACCATTGGACTGGGGAAAAACCCATGCCCGAGCTGCCAGAACGACACCAAAATTTCGGCATCACTGAACAACATCACGTTCGTGATGCCGAAAGTTGGCCTGCTACAGGCACATTACTTCAACACTTCAGGAGTTTTCAAGACCGATTTTCCTGACAGGCCTCCCAAGTCATTTAACTACACCGGGGCGCCTTTAACGGCTAATCTTGCCACTTCTCTAGGGACCAGGCTGAGCAAGGTGGCTTTCAATACGACCGTGGAGCTGGTGCTTCAGGATACGAATCTCCTGACCGTCGAATCGCACCCATTTCACCTCCATGGCTACAACTTCTTTGTGGTTGGCACCGGTGTCGGTAACTTCGACCCGGCAAAGGATCCTGCCAAGTTTAACCTTGTGGATCCACCTGAGAGGAACACCGTTGGGGTGCCGACTGGTGGGTGGACAGCCATCAGGTTTCGAGCCGATAACCCGGGAGTCTGGTTCATGCACTGTCACTTGGAGCTTCACACAATGTGGGGATTGAAGATGGCTTTCGTCGTGGAAGATGGTAAATCTCCTGAACAGAAGGTTTTGCCTCCACCAAGTGACCTTCCACCTTGCTAATTACAAAAGGGGGAAAAAACAACGTCGTGTTTGTATCGAGTTTGAAGAAGTTGGCTTCACAAGAAAAATGAAGACCTGCTATTGCCTATTGCGTTTCCCACTTTCATTTCATTGTTTTCTTCTCAATGCTAATAAGATCCACAAGAAAGGAATATTGTTAAACAAATGGTAGAGAAATTTGAAATTTAATGGTTTGGCCAACATTCATTTTTTTTTTTTCTGTTTGTAACAATCTAAGCTTTCTATAAACAACCATACACAAGAGATTGGAACAGAATCTTATTTTATTTTTTTCTTGGGGTCAATGGAACTTAAAACCCTGGGGAGCAGCAACCTCTGCAATGTCATTACTATGTTCTTCTTGTTCATCAATGGAAGCTGTGAGTGTCGAAAGCGGTGCTGGTTCTTTGAACTCGCAGGACTTTTCGGAGTTACACGACTGCAACTTCTGCTTCAAACGAATGCTCCTGGAAAAAATCCCCCAACTCTTCTTGTTCTTCACCAACTTCTCAATATCCTCCTTCATGTCAAAGCACTCCTTCTCGAGCTCCGACACCCTCTCCTTCATCTCATCATCCCCAGGTACCGCGAGTCGAATCTCATCCTCGATTCGATCGATTACATTACCGTTGTTAATCTCGCCGATGAGGTGGTGGTGAGGGTTGTCCAGATTATCAGACACAAAGAACCACCCTGAAACAGTAGTCCTGAGCCTCAATTGCTCAAAGAACAGAACCTGAATCACAACCCTGAGAGGCAGCCGTTCATTCTGAGCAGCGTGAGTGCTTGCTTCCAGAGAAAGCTTCTGACAATTCATCAGTCTGCACAACTGTTCCTTCTCCAACTCTGTCATCCATGGATGAGCTTTCAAGTACACATCAATCGCATGGTAAAGCCCATCATCCACGGGTCTAGCATAATCAGGAATCGTCGCTGCAAGCGTCTCGAATTTCGACAGCTTCATGTTCACATCAGGAGCGATCTCCGAAAGAAACCCATCAATCAGACTCGCTACAATCGTCATCGAAGTTAACGCCTCCCTCTCCACCATGAACTCTGCCCCCTCTTCGACCATGGAAGCTGACAAATTAGCCTCTTGTGACGTGATCAGGAAGTAATCGACGATTCTCTGGATGCAATCCACGTCGTAAAGCGTCTCGGAAACAGAGTAGCCCATGTTTGGTATCAGGAGATCCTGCAGAGCAGCTTGGTCAAGCTGAGCTCCCACTCTCCTCTCCAAATTCTCCCTGCAATACGAGCTTGCTTGTAGGAAAATGGCGGCTCGGAGAATGGAGAGCAAGAAGCTGGTTTGAGTCACTCCCTTTTTGGTGGGCAGTAGCGTGACGAGTTCCTCGAGGTACATTCGCTGATCTTCTTCAGAAGGAAGCAAATTTGATATGACCGGAGTAGCACCTGGCCGGAGCTGCTGGCTTGTCGTCAAAGGTAGATACTTTCGGGCGTAATACATCACCGAACCGGAAATCATTTCTGGGTTCATCCCCTTGGATTCAACCGCCATTATCAGACGCTTGTAGAGCTGCAAATTGAGGAACGAGACGTCATCAAACCACCACCCCTGTAAATGCTCTGCTTTTTGCCCTGCCGCCGATGAAATCCCATTCCAGGCGACTACATTCTCGTCGGAGATTTCAATCGCCGGTGTGGATTGAGGTAGATGGGTAGTTGAATCTTGAATGCTAGAACAACATGCTTTCGTTGCCAATGAATCGATGCAGCGGGAGACGATGTAGAGATCTTCCGCCGGACGGAGAACTTCCTGACAGGTTTTCAGAGCCCTGAGTGAATCGGTCCAATCGGTGAAAACCTCTTTCAAGAACTGGTCGGTTTTCAGAATCAGATTCTTCTCCCCGAAATCTTCAGTCATCTGAAGATACTCCGCCGCGCATCTCAGGCTGACAATGTTGAGAGCTGTCAGCTCGAATTTGACTCCATAACAGAATTTCATGGCGAGCTCAAAAGCCCTGGCGCCGCCTGGAAGATCGGGGAGCTTTAATGCGCAGACGGATCCATCCTCGTAGGGAAGTTGTTCGATGAGCTTGCTTAACAAACCGCTTCTTGAAATCAATGGAAACTGTGGAGAAAGGATGATGGAGATTGAAAAAGGGACAATCTCTGTGAATAGATGGAAAAATGGGGAATTGGACAGAGTAGGAAAAGAACGAACCTTGTGAAGATTAAAGCACATATCTTGAACTTCAATGGCGACATCACTTGAAAGCCCACTTGAGCAAAACCTGGAAGAAGCATAATGAGAAAGTATGATTAGGAAGATAGTTTCAATTTGTTTTGTGGGTTAGGGAAGGAATTGAAGGATATTCATAGTTTTTTTGTTGTTGTACCAATTGAGTCCTTCACGATGAAAGCATTCAGGTTTGGAGCCTAATCTTAGGAATGCCATTACAAAGATGATAGTAGCAAAAAGATTGACGAGTAAAGGCTCATTATGATAAATAATTGTAGAAAGTATGTGGTTCATACTTTTGTGTGCAAAATGGAGTGCTTAAAGCTCGCTCTTACTTTTATTCTTTCCACATTTTTCGTAAACGGTATGTTTGATCTCTTCTTTTTATGTTTTTTGTTCTAATTTTTTTTTAATTGTGAGTGATAGATAAGAGGGGGAAAAACCACGATTACTGTTTTGTAGTGCGAGTCTTTGGCAGAAAAAGTAGTGAGATTAGAGATATTCTCAATACAGAAGAAATAATTATTTTTTTTTATACAATTCGTTTATCTAGTTAGGATTTTCTGACTTGTTCACACCCGACCTGTTTTTTATGTACTAATTTTTGTGAATTGATAATTCAAATTCAGGTTTACCTGCAGAAAAAGTTGTAAATTTTTTTACATAATACTGATTCATGTAGCATAGAAATGAATCTCTTTAGATAAAAAAAAAAAAAGATCAAGTAGCACGTCTTCTTCATTTTTAAAACTACAAGCAACAACCAAACTCCGTAGTATAAAAATCACACATGTTAGACCACTTCAAGTATTTATACGACAATCATTCATTATAACATGCCAATTTAACATACGCAACTATCAATCTATCATACCAATCCTTTTAGATTTATCTAGGAAGGACAATATCACACATACTCTATCCTTCAAATGACCCCTAAGAGTCATGTATTTGTGTGGTCTCTTGGATCGGGATCACAAGCTTTCCATATGAAGAGTGACCGAGAACGATCCTGGAAGCCCTGAAACCTCAACTTCCTTCGACTCCCGAGTCTCGGGACAATACATTACCAACTTGCATCCTCCAATCTGCAGCAAGATCGCTCCACTGCTCTCCAGTTTACACAGCACGCGCACAGTCGTTGCAGCTCCACCTCCATCACTCCCCTCATCACCTCTTCCATTCGAATTCAGCCCTCGAGGCAACTGGTTTCCATTGATGACGAATTCTCGGCACCAGGATTCCTTCACACCATACTCTTTCATCGCCCATAACTCCAACCCACCGCCGCCGCCGCAAACCACCGCAGACAGGCGACCGGAGATCGCCGCCAATTGGGTCAAACGACACCGTTCTGGGTCCAATTCCCCTGCAGCAGGGAAGGCAATTTCCTTAAACTCCTCTGCCCCCAAATCAAACGACACAATCCTCACCTTCCCCTGCATCGGCAGGGTGAGCCAATGGAGAGCGGAATTGACCAAAACGCCCTCCGACGGCCCTGGCTTCAGATTCCACGATGTCCTTCCGATATCTCTCCACGTGGCATCGCCGACGGTGAGCACCTGAACCTGCGAATGCCAGGCCCATCCGAACAGGGTCGGGCGGTTGCAGTACACCACCCGGACGATTTTGGGCCCAGAGGTTGCTAGGTCGGGCCCGAAGCCCAGAGCCACGTGTTGTGGCTCGGGGAAGCTGGTGTTGATGGGCCTGGGGAGGTGGATCCTGTGGCCCGTGAGCGGGTTCCAGAGGCAAACAGGGGTTAGGGATGAATTTTCGGCGTCGGAGATGCACAAGAAGCCGTTGCAGGATCCCGTGGGGACGAGTTTGGTGAAGTCTAGGTCGTCGTCGGATCTGACGGTCTTGGTGACGGAACCGGCGGCGAGATGGCGGAGATGAGTGCGGCCGTCGGAATAGTGGAGGAGGAGGGGCGGGTCCCGGCGGCGGGCGTGAGCGAGATAGAGGGCGCGGAGTCGAGGGTTTTCGGCGACTGAACGGAGAGATTTGGAGACGCATTTGAGCCTGATGATGGAAGAGATTGGTAACCGGGAGAGTATTTCCAGCTCTATTTCGGACGGGAGATTCTCCATTGATGATTGTTGTGTGTGTTTTCGTTTGAGGGAAAATTGGTTGGGTTTGCCTTCGCCCGTTTTATATAACCTCCGCCTCGTTTCAATTTGTTCTGCTTCTGTCCTTTTTTGGTCGGACTAAGAAAAAAGACAAACAGAGCCTACCCAAATTGGTCGCTTTCGCCCATTTGGTGATGACTGGTAAGCGGATGTTCTGCAACTGCGACCAGCGATATGATTGAACATTTGTGATGACAACAAACAGAAGAGCCAATCGACGATCTCCATATTCATACCCATTAAGGCATAAACACTATTTTCCGGTCAGTCAAGCCGGCCGGCCGGCCGGCAGCCATATCATATCATATCCACCATTTTTTCTTTCTTTGTACTTAAGCTACCGGACTGCTTCCCTACTTGACTGTCTTTTGCAGAAACAAGCAACCAAAAGAATGATTCAAATCCAACAAATTGAAGCTCCTGTCCATTACGACCGCCCTCTCTGCACCTCTCTCTCCTTATAATTCCAGCAAGGCTTATGCAGGCCCTTCAACTCAACCAGCAATGTATTCTGCTTGTTTTGAGTATAGGTGATATGGATTTGAAATTGTTAATGGTTAATGATAAATTAAAGTTTTAAATTAGTATATCATATATGTGTTTTATGTTATAGCGCATGACCGCTAAATCATAAATAACTAATTTTTCCGGTTCAACATTCGTTTTGGTTATGAAAATGTAAGGGATGATGAACAAGAGTCCAGAAGAAGAACCTCTGGGCTTCAACCAATGGGTCAGTCATCCCGGATCGAGCCGTCCTATTAGACCCGACCCAACCCGCAGTTCACGTAGACGTCTACAGCATGGGAGGATTATTTTTATCCCATGTGAAAAGTCCAAAGGGTAAACTTATTGACCTTATGAGTTCTTATCGGTCCAGGCATGACCGGACAATGAATCGTGAAGGTGCTCTTTCAAAATTGAAATGTAGTTGAAACTGAATTTTAGTATAATAAAATGAAAATGAACATAGCATCGTTATCGAAAATGTGATCTCTTTCTAACATTGTTCAAATATTAGCTCTCTACTTTTTTTTTTTTGACAAATACTTTTTCCACGGGATCATTTTCCGTCGTTCACACATATTATTTGTACTTGGATAATTCTGACGAATCAAAACGGTTGGTTTTCATTTTGAGATTAAATCAATCTTATGGCTTGGGTTAGAGAATCGGGGACTGAGGTTCACCTATTAGAGGTTAGAGTATAGTATCATGTCTCAGACTCCGACTAATTCAAGATCTAAATAACAAAAATGGGCGGGTGCGAGATTTATCAATCCTCAATCCACCCACACCAAACACTCACTGTGTACGAATTAGGTTATTTGCGGATGGATCGATATCAATCCGCGAATTAACCACCCACTTGCCCACCCGTGCCACGAGCCCACGACCATTGGGCAGCCCTAGACAAACGAACATGGACTTAAGCCTATCACCTACTCTCCTTGGGCCTTGTTCTCTAGGTATAAATCACTTTCCAAGGATTGGGTACCCTTACAATAGCCTGAAGTCATGGTACCCGAGGCTCATATTGATCGAAGAGACGAACTGACGATCATAAGAAAGTTCTATGGAGTTTCTTCATTGACCAATGCAAAAGATCGAGTCAACGATTGGGTTTCTAGACTTCTCAGACACCTAGCCAGCTGGCTATGGCATGGAATCCCAAATCAAGAAAGATGCTCTTTTTTCCCTTTAAAATAAAATTCTGGCGCTCCACATACGATCACGATATACGAGAAATCGGAAGATTTTTTGAAATTGTGTTTTATAATTTGATTATCATAATTTAACTATCGTGCTCAAAGAACATCTATCATAATGTGCTCATAGTGCTTCTTGGTCTTCAAATCAAGCACGAACGCCCCACTATCATCAGATGAACACCAAGTTTAAACATTTTAACAAACTTTTGATTTTGATTACCCCGTTATCGTGTTTACAAAAAATTTAATTTTGATTACCCCGATATCAAAGCAAATTTGTGCCTTTTGTTTTCTGGACTCTCCCCTTTTGTTTAAGTGCTAGATCAGTAGCTTCTTTCTTTCCCAAAGTAGTGCTCTTGATTTTTTTTTTTTTTTTGTCTATTATGAACAAAGCCAACAGGTACGCATACATTATATTAGTGTGATAGTGTCCCTTAGTTCGTTCCACGGAGGAGGAAAAAAGAACTTTCGGTGATAGACGATATCGATCGCCTCCAAAGGTTGGAGAATAAGGCACAAATTAAACCTTGACTTCCTTAACATTAATCATTGGTACCTCTCCTCTGCTTCTTCACACTCTCCAATGGCTAGGCATCCCTCCTGATCAAGTACCAAAGCTTCTTTCATCAAGAACCCGTTAATCGCAATAACTGCTTGAGTTGGGGGGGGGGGGGGGGGGGGGGGGGGGGGGGGAATCCATAGTCGTTAGAATCTCTTTATCATTCGTTTGCTCACCAGTACCGTCACATTGTAGCCATGGAGAAGGGAAGTTCAACTTGCAGCAGCCACCAGCTGGAGGAGAAGAAGGGAGGTGATAATGGCGGAAGCAACAAAACAGTAGCATTTCACAAGCTTTTCACCTCTGCCGCCGACTCGACGGACGCTCTTCTGATGACGCTGGGCACGATTGGCGCCATGGGGAACGGGCTCGCCATGCCTCTCATGTCCATCTTGTTCGGACAGCTCACCGATTCTTTCGGACAGAACCAGCAGAGCAGCAGCGCCCAAGTGGTGCATTTGGTGTCCCAGGTTTCCGTCAGGTTTGTCTACCTGGCAGCTGCTTCTGCTGTGCTGGCTTTCCTCCGTAAGTTACAAACACATAATAATAGTCTTCTCTCAATATGGATTTGCTCTGTTATTATTTACGTGCTCAGATGGCTTTCACTGAAAAACATTTGTGTTTGGCAATTTGTTGGCGTGTGGAACAGAGGTGACTTGCTGGATGGTGACAGGGGAGCGGCAGGCTGCGAGGATTAGGGTTTTGTATCTGCAGACTATATTGAGACAGGACATCGCGTTTTTCGACGGGGAGACGAACACCGCGGATGCGGCTATTAGGATCTCTAATGACACCATTCTGATCCAAGATGCCATGGGCGAGAAGGTACGTATTTGTCATTGGATCGATGGAATTTCTTAAATTAATCGATCGAGAAGTGTAGGAAATTATAGTGTACACGTATGAAAATATGGAGCAGTATTTACTTGAACAATGATATATAAAAATGTGGAGTTGATGAATCCAAATATTATAAATTCCTGTTATAAAATATATCTCATCTTCAAAATTAAAATTAGTATCCCCTTTCCCCAAAGCTACCTCTTTTTTTCTCCACAATTAAAGCCTCCATATTTATAAATGATTTCCTCCTAAAAGCAATCAAAAGACAGAGATATGACCAAAGGTTCATCATGCCATAAACCTTTGGATCTTCTACTAGTCTATATACTATGCACCAAATTGCTTTAAAAAAAATCCTTTTGTAATGCCACTGAATTAAAGTCATTCCACAAGTTAGTCCTGATAACTAAAAAAATGAAACATGACAAACTTGTTGATGATCTTAATTACCATTAACATCATCTGAGTCAGGGGCGGAGCTACACAGGGCCTGAGGGGGGCCCCGGCCCCCCCGAGAATTTCAAAAATCGCGAAAGAATGTATGAGTATTCTGAAAATTACGAAATAAATACAGGTTTTATAATAATGGCCACGGGTTAAAAGGTATCTAAAGAAGCTGATTACCCTAGTGGAGTTGTTGTGGTTCTGTATCCAACAGGTCAAGGGTTCAATCCCCACTTATGTTATTTTTTCGGATAAGTTTAACAAGAATGTCAATCTAATTATTTAACAATTTATAGCTTTAATGGAAAATTTTAAATTTCCCCCGATAAGTTTAAGTGTTTAACAAGAATGTCAATATAATTATTTGAAAAAAACATCTGGTACATTTTGATAATTCACACAATTAATTTATTTATATAGTTATATAATTATTTTGATTTTTGTCTAGTTACGATAGTATATGAAACATTTTCGGCCCCCCCAAACCCGAAATCCTAGCTCCGCCCCTGATCTGAGTTTACCTCAAGTTTCACTTTGTACGAAATTAATAATAAAATCATTGTAAGAAACATCGAAAAAATATACCATAATGTGTCTAGGCTCCAATGGGTTTGGTCTCAAGATGAGACGCGGGCTTGAGCCCATTGATAGCGTAGTAGTTTATTGTATTAGGCCCATTAATATCACACCTCAACACTTTTACATTTTACACCCGTCTTCTTTCACCTGTTTTCGCCCTTCGTCGCCTGTTCGGCGGCCGACAAGTTCGTTTGGCGACAGACTGTCTGGTTGCGTCGCCGGAGATCCCGTCGAATCCGAGAAGAGAGGAAAAGAGAAAGGGAATAATGATTCCACCGGCTACCATTTCCCCCTTCCGCATCTGTAAGAAGCGATGCCTATCGAGAAGATTTTGATGATCATGAGGTCCTTCCGTTCCCATCTCTTCTCTGCGCTCCACTTTGCACCGTTCCAACTGTGCCCCCATCTCCTCTCTACGTTCCCCTTACCTCCGGCCACCGTCGCTCCGGTTCTCCGATTGGAACCATGTGGAAAGCGTTTTCCCTGGGCGAAAACGAACCATGGGGCCGATCACGGGCACGGTGGAAGAATCAGGCCAGCAGGAAACGGTGGGGATGATTGAAATATGGAATTTCTTTCTTCCTCACTCTGGTTTCCCATGCTGAGTTCTATGTTGGAAGCCTACCTCCTGATAACCCTTGCTTCTCTCCTCTCTTTTGGTACTTTTCTTCGGCCAACTCTCTGTATGAGTGCTTCCATTTCAATTTCTAATTAACATGGCCTTCCATTTTCAAAGTAGGCCCCTTTTCTCTAATTCACCTTAAAGAAATCATGAAAGTGGCATCCATTTGACAAAACAATGGGTGGCCTCATTTTCATGATTTCTACTAGCTGGAAGGTCATGGTGTGAATCCTACTATTGATAAAATTCTGAGTGTTCTTTGTTGTCTAAGAGGCATTTTAATGTTGAGCTACTCCATGTTTCTCAACACTTCCAATATTTTGCTGTAGTTTTTTTTTTTGTTAAGGGTAAAATTCATTTATTAAGTTTAGCCATTAAGGAAAACTCGAAACTTAATAGGAGATTGCAGCCAGCACAAAAGTTTTCATTAGTGTTTACAGATTAACCAAGCTTCAGTTGAAGCAAGGGGGAGACATGATGAGGAGAATTCTGCTATAGTACTGTGGTCTCTATACAGCAGGGTTTCTTTAAGTTAGATGTGGATGCAGGGCAGAGTGTTTATATTGATAAGTCTGTCTTTGAGATGAATTAGTTGTATATGATAGGAGGATGTTTAGATTGAGTGGAGTGAAGAGAGTGAAGCAAATTTTGAGTCCGGAGGAAGTCTCAAGCTACTTGAAGAGGTCTGGCCGAACCATTCAAACATAGTATGTTTTTACTGATTTAAGAATTGGACTGCATCGTGAACACTGAAAGCAACAGGTTGGAGTTGGGAGTGGTGAGTGATGAGTGATGATACCAGAAAATAGATCTTCCAGATGCCGCAAAGTTCCTTATCTATTTGGATTATGTGTCCATGCTTGCTTGAATAATGTTGTTTCCATTCATGATTAATGAAGTTTCTACGAGTTACAACCCATGATCATACTCATCATTTAGTCAAGATTATTTTGCATGCTGATTGATCTGTACCGCTTTTAGTAACCACTGCAGAGCGCGGGCCAATTACCTTGTTATGTAATAAAATGTGGTGAGGATACCCCGCTTCATTTATTGCCTCCGAACAAAGAATTCAAATTATTGTCTTCTCATTTCTGTGTCGTGCAGGTTGGAAAATTCATCCAGCTTCTGGCGACATTCATCGGAGGATTGGTGATAGCATTCATCAAAGGCTGGCTTCTCACCCTTGTTCTGCTAAGCTCCATCCCTGTGTTTGTCGTATCTGGTTGGATCAAGTACTTGGCGATAGCGAAGATGCTATCCCGAGGGCAAACAGCATATTCAAAAGCTGCAAATGTGGTCGACCAGACAATTGGATCAATAAGAACAGTAGGCTGCGCATTCATGCTTGCATCTCGTCGTCCTTGATGCATAATATATATGTTCCTAGCTAGCTAGAACGTGCAGTAAGTAGATATCTGCATAATATGCTGTAATTTGCAGGTTGCATCATTTACTGGGGAGAAGCAGGCCATAGAAAACTACAATAAGCATCTCGTTGATGCTTACAAATCCGGTGTCAATGAAGGCTTGGTTACTGGATTAGCTCAAGGGATGTTTATTTTGATTATGTTCTGTACCTACTCTATGGCCATATGGTTTGGTGGGAAGATGGTTCTGGAGAAAGGGTACAGTGGGGGTGAAGTAATTAGTGTCTTAAATGCTATCTTGACCGGTTCAATGTGAGTGCTATTGTTTCTAATTCTGGATTAGTGCCGTTGTTAATCCCTTTATTACACATCTAACGTTAACATGCACTGTTTCAGTTCAATTGGGCAAATTTCCCCTTGCTTGAGTGCTTTTGCAGTAGGTCAAGTAGCAGCATATAAGATGTTCGAAACCATAAAAAGGAAGCCAGAGATTGATGCTTATGATTCAAAGGGGAAGGTGTTTGAAGACATAAGTGGAGATATAGAGTTCAAACATGTGCGCTTCAGTTATCCAGCAAGACCAGACGAGCAGATATTCAATGGGTTCTCTGTTTCTATTAAAAGTGGAACGACTGCAGCTCTGGTGGGCCAAAGTGGGAGTGGGAAGTCGACTGTGATTAGTTTGATAGAGAGGTTTTATGACCCACAAGCTGGTGAAGTTCTCATAGATGGGATTAACCTGAAACAGTTTCAGCTCAAGTGGATCAGAGGGAAAATTGGGCTTGTTAGCCAAGAGCCTACACTGTTCACATCAAGCATTAAGGACAACATAGCTTATGGGAAAGAAGGTGCATCCATTGAAGAGATAAGAGCTGCTTCTCAACTAGCAAATGCTGCTAAATTCATCGACAAGCTACCTCAGGTTTGTATATAAAAATTCAAATGATTCCTTATTAGATAACGGTTTCCCATTTGTGCTGTTGTTTCTTCTCTTCTACGACCAGGGATCCGGACCATATGTCTGAGGCTACCAGATTCCTGATCCGAAATATGCGACGACAAACACTCTTGTTGTGTCCCGAGATGTTAGACTATGAGAATTGACCTCGGAAGTATTACTTTTTTTTTGGCATTGCCATACAGGGACTAGATACTATGGTGGGTGAGCATGGAACTCAGTTGTCTGGTGGGCAGAAGCAGAGAATTGCAATAGCAAGGGCAATTTTGAAGAACCCAAGAATCTTGCTTCTCGATGAAGCAACAAGTGCACTTGATATAGAGTCTGAGAAGGTCGTTCAGGAGGCATTAGACAGGATCATGGTGAATCGAACAACCTTGATTGTCGCTCATCGTTTGAGCACTGTTGAAAATGCTGATATGATTGCGGTCATCCACCATGGGAGATTGGTTGAAAAAGGTATGTCTTGCACGTACACCTGAATCAATCAAACGTAGATTTGGTCCCTCTTCTTCATCCATTTCTGCGCTCCTTGTCTGTCCAATTGCATGCAGGTTCTCACACTGAGCTACTCAGCGTTTCTAATGGAGCATACTCTCAACTCATACGTTTACAAGAGTTAAAACAAGAACCTCTAAAGGACCACAAGAAACCAGAAACCCTTAAGGATCGTCACCTTAGCCACTCATCCTCATCAGTCTCATTAGAAGATATGAGCAATACAAATCATAGCCATGAAACCATACAAGCTTCTCCAACGACAAAACATGTTTCTCCAACCATCTCCATCAAGCGACTTGCACATCTCAACAAGCCAGAGCTCCCAGTGGTTCTGGCTGCAACTATTGCAGCTGCATTACATGGCGTTGTGCTTCCAATTTTCAGCCTCTTTATGGCACGAGCATTGAAATCCTTCTACGAGCCACCACACGTGCTGAGACAGGATACCAAGTTCTGGGCCTCCACTGTCTTATCCCTTGGCTTCGCATCCTTGCTGGTGTTTCCATCACATACATACCTGTTCAGTGTCGCCGGGTGCAGACTGATACAGCGGATCAGGTCAATCTGTTTCGAAAAAGTGGTTCACATGGAGGTCGGTTGGTTCGACGAGCCCAAGAACTCGACCGCCATCATTGGTGCTAGACTCTCGGCAGACGCGACAATGGTCCGATCCGTGGTTGGTGACAAGCTCAGCATGGCTGTACAAACCGCTGCTTCTGTGGTCGCTGGTTTGGTGGTCGCCTTTAGCGCGAGCTGGCAGTTGGCCTTCATTGTGCTTGCTTTAGTTCCTTTAATAGGTATCAATTGGTTCGTACAAGTCCAATTCTTCAAAGGGTTCAGCGGCAACGCAAAGGTGATGTATGAAGAGGCAAGCCAAGTGGCGAGTGATGGGATTGGGAGCATAAGGACAGTGGCGTCTTTCTGTGGAGAAGAGAAGGTGGTTGAGTTGTATAGAGAGAAATGCAAAGGCCCCATCGAGGCAGGGATCAGGCAGGGTTTGATTAGTGGGATTGGATTCGGGGTGTCCAACTTCTTGTTGTTTGCTTTCTATGCAATCAGCTTTTACGCTAGTGCTGGCCTTGTGAACCGTCAGAAAGCCTCATTTCGTGACGTTTTCCAGGTCTGTACATAAAATTGGTTCATATGACTTTCTCAAACTTCACTCAATACTCGTCGTGCTACGCATACTCTAATAGTTTACATACTAAACGTTTCTTAATCAGCAAGTTGATTGCTTTGATTGCAGATCTTCTATGCGCTTAACTTCATGGCCATTGCAGTTTCTCAAATGAGCACTTTTGGGGCTGATTGGTCCAAGGCCAGAACTGCAGCTGCTTCCATTTTCGAGATCATAGACAGGAGACCGAAAGTGGATCCAAGTGAACAGTCAGGAGCGACGTTAGGCATTGTCAAAGGAGACATCGAACTCAGGCACATACATTTCAGCTATCCATTGAGACCAGGCGTTGAGATTTTCAGAGACCTCAGCTTGGCTATCCATTCTAACAAGACTGTTGCTCTAGTGGGAGAGAGTGGGAGTGGGAAGTCCACAGTCATTGCTTTGCTGCAGAGATTCTACGATCCAGATTCAGGTAGCATAACTCTCGATGGAGTGGATATCCAGACCCTTCGAGTCAAGTGGCTGAGACAACAGATGGGGCTTGTCAGCCAAGAACCTGTCTTGTTCAACGACACTGTTCGCGCCAACATCGCGTATGGGAAGCAAGGAAATGCTACGGAGTCTGAAATCCTGTCAGCGTCAGGACTAGCAAATGCACATAATTTCATCAGTAGTCTGCAACAGGTATCCATATAGAATTAGAAGTATTTTCCATTTATGTTTGTCACTACTTACGCTAACAATTGGCCATACATATGTATTGATGTGGGAGTCAGGGATACGACACGATCGTCGGAGAGCGCGGCATTCAGCTATCCGGAGGCCAAAAGCAACGGGTGGCCATTGCACGAGCCATGGTGAAAGACCCAAAGATACTGCTTCTGGACGAGGCGACTAGCGCATTGGATGCAGAATCGGAAAAGGTGGTTCAAGACGCGCTAGAGAGAGTGATGGTGAACAGAACCACGGTGGTCGTGGCTCATCGGCTGTCCACGATCAAGAACGCCGATCTAATCGTAGTTGTGAAAAATGGGGCAGTTGTGGAGAAAGGAAGGCATGAAAGTTTGATGGCAATCAAAGATGGATTCTATGCTTCTCTAATGTCACTTCACACTGGTAATACCTTAAAACTCGATATGAAATTCACTGATGCAAGAGTTCTTGATTTAGAGCTTACTTTACAACATTCTGAAACCATTGAGAAAAAGCACATCATGATATTGAAGTACACAATTTTTCATGGCATGCATGAGTAGCTGCTTAAATCCCACAGTAGAGTTTAACCATGTTGGCCTCATTCTTATCAGGGACTGTACTCGAGGCGTAGAAGTCGAGGAAGTCCTGATTGAGGAATGGCTTGTACCGCAACGGGTGCTCTTCATCGACAAGTTCCTCAGGTGCTTCAATAATCCCCGTCACGAATGTAAACAACCCTACAACGTATCTCGTCTCGTCGCTGTCGATGAACGACCGATGGTAGCACGATTGGATCCTGTCATTGCTCCATGCCTTGTAACAAAATAACTAACAAACGTACATCAATTTTTAAACGAAGGATGCATTAAAATGTTGCTCTTGTAACTTAAATGAACAAAAAGGATGAAGAAGAAGAAGAAGAATAACCATGAGGATATCGCCGGCTAATACGGCGAAGGAGGAGGGTGAGGAAGGGCGGTAAGGAATCCATTGACCGTCCCTGGACCGGACCTCAAGCCCATGAACGTGGTTCTGATGGAGAACGGTGATGAAGGACTTGTCGATGTGGGCCTTGAGTCCAATATTGGTCTCCACCGTTGGGCTTCTTTCGTACCTCAGAAGTCGCAGGAGATAGGTGGTGGAGTTGGCCACGGCCTCCTCCTTCTCCTTCCCTATCCCATAGCTTTCCACCACCATCTTCACCACCAGTTTCTGTACCTCCGCCATCATTAACCCGTAACGATGCACCACATCACTGCTCCCTCGCGGTCCAGTTTGGGGTAATGAAAGCAAATTGTAGCAGAACAGGAGAAATTAAGGAAGAGGGCACGTTGTGACAAAATCACACAAAGAAAGTGGTATGAGATTCATATATGAGTTTCATGACATTGAAGTTGGTTTGAGTGTGAGATGGTAATTTAGCACTCGGTTATCCGCGTAAACTTTCGAGATTTTAGAAACTGCAAACCGTTGACTTTGTAGTGAAAAATGCAGTTTGCTACACCAAATGGGTCATTTTTTTATTTATTTTTTTCAAACTTCGGACAATTTTGTTCTCGCTTATCCCCGGTCAGCTTAAAGTTGTGCGAAATAATATAATAAAAATTCATCACGATCGGAAAATCGACCACAAAGTTAGGACCGTTAGAAGTTCGACCTAGGGTACAGATCAATAGAGTACTCATCGATTCTTGGTGGCTAGATCGCTATATTTTTCCAGCTATATTAGTGGTTTGCTCTTGTCTCTAGCAATCCACCTAGGTTTTAAGGCTGGTTGGCTTCGGTCAGTCGCGATTCACTATGGTTCACCCCCTAGTACACCAGCAAACCACTGCTCATATCACGAAAAACTTTAGCAAACTGAGCCAAACTTTAATATTTTGTGATTATTATTATTATTATTATTATTATTTTATTTTTTAAGTATATTATTGTGAGAATTTTTTTTATAGTAAATCAGAAATTTTCCCTAAAACTCCATATTTTAGACACATCAAAGTCAATCATAAAACAGAAGGGAAGAAAGAAAGAAAGAAACACAAAGTAAGTAGATTGTGGTGAAACCTGAAATGGGGATTGCCTTGAGGCCACATAAGGTTAGTGAACGCCTCACACGCTGCCTTGTCGGTCACGCCATCGAGCCCCAGCCCTTCGAAATTCGGCAGCACCGAGTTCTTCCCGGAGTAGCCTTGAGCCAGCCTGGGGCTCTTGTTCCTCATCTTGGTCTCCCGAGGAAGGCTGAACAGCTCTTCCATGGCGCCGTGGACCGAGCCGTGAACCTCCTCCGTCGGCTCGACGACGTCGTACACCAGCTCGAACCACCCGTACTCCTCCAGAGCCAGCCTCGTGGCTCTGCAGGCTGATGTCCAGTCAGCACCTTGCTCCGTCAGCGCGTCTCCACGTAGGCTGATGACCGGGATTCTGGGAACCACGCTGGCTGTAGAACCCATGATCGATCTATGGAAAGCTAGCTGGCTCTCTGTAGGTAATGTTTGTGCTGGCCGTGGTTTTTGAAAGGGAAGTAAGAGGGTTGGCTACTTGGCTAGAGGCTAAAATAAAAGGGGATTCATATGCTCTGCCAAAACTGCTGCGCTCCAGAACGCCAATTATTGTGGGTTTAGAAAAATGATCAAATTGGTCGTCCAGTTCGCTTTCTGGTTTGTTTGCTACTTGAGGCTTCTAGAAAGGGAATAATTTGGAATGATTGTGTGATATAATATATATGCTTTGAGATGGGTTGATTCTAAGAGGAATTAGTAATCTTATACTGTTTTGAGGCGGAATTCAACACTCACTTTCTCTTCAACCAGATTTCGACCACCCCTAATTAACAAAGCACCGTTTTACTTAATTTGAACTCCAAGAAGGGGACTCAAACATTTAGGTTTCGACTAGATCGGATGTCTCGTACTTTTTGAAGGATAACAATACGAGAGAGCCGGGTTGAACCATCTAGAATGACATAAGTCACATGTAGGATCCCAGCACGTACAGTTTTTAAGGAGGAGCTGATTGAAAAAATTAATAAGAAATTAAAATTTGTTCAGAAAAGTAGTCGAAATAGATGACAATGTCTTTTTATAGTATTCTTCCTTATTAGAAAGACCATCTTTCTCCTGTGGCCGACCAAGAAAAAAAAAAGGGACAATAACACTTGCCGCACATACTCTGTTTCTGTCTCTAGAAATCTCCAACAATCAGTCGCTTCCCATCTAGTCATCATACGCGCCTATTCGATTAGAGAAATCGAAAACTTAATAGAGAACAAAATTTAGCTCCAATCTTTACCAGATTCTAATATCATTCTGAGAGACGTTATCATTTATAATGAAAAGTGCCAAGAAATCATTTCATTACTTATTTTATTTTTAACAAATTGTTCAAAATTATAACCAATGATTGTAAAACCGTATCGAATGTTGTATCAAAAAAGTCAATAACAGAACAATTTATACCAGCCATCATTTTAATCATTGATTCAACCCTTTGTATTTCCTAAATCTCTCCTCTACCGATTTAGCTTCTAATATGAATTTTTTTTTCTTTTTCGAACCATCAGTACGGTTTTTCAATATCTTTCCCTCAAAGAAGTAATGGCCTTCAACTTCCCACCTATATAAACAAGCAACCATGCAGCCCTCTCCATGATTAATCACTCTTCTCTCCGTTTGCTTGCGTGCAAAGCCACATCCCATATGTCCCCTCCAACTTCACATATAGCCCATACACCAGAAACACTGTGCCAAAGGGCCAGAGAGGCTGATAACAAACCATGTTCTTTCTCCCACCGAAGGCAGCCGTAATCATATGCACTTCCGTCGCCGCCGCGGTGGCCGTGATGGGAACCATGTTACTAAAAACTCACCATGACCACAACCTCCATCTCTCTTCTTCTCCGCCACCGCTGCTGCTCACCTTCCTCCTCCACAGCAGCTCCGACGCCCTGTCCTCGTGGCTCACGCCCCCTTTTCTCTACCTCCTGGTCAACGCCATCATCATCTCCATCCTCGCTTCCTCCAAGCTCCAGTACTCCAAGACCGCCGCTTCTTCTAGCCCTGCTGCTGATGACGTGTCATTATCAGGGTACGGTGGCTTCTCGGAGACCGAGGTGAGTAGGAGTAGTGGTCTCGCGGAAGGGGGTCAGCTAGAAGAGCCGCCGGTGGACGGTCAGAAGGCCACGGAGAGAGACGAGGATCATGCACCGGCGTCGTCGGTCGTGCCGCATATCGGTTGGGATGACCGCCACCGTCGTGATATGGCCGCCACCGCCGCGGATGATGAGTACTCCGGTGGCGGCGGTCTTACGAGAGAAGAGGATAGAGAAGCCAAGCCTCCGGTTTCCTCCAGGTTTGTACCCCGGAAATCTGCACTACCACCACCACCACCCAACGGATCAGCTACCAACTTCACTCATCGGTCCAAAGGTAAGTATCACCGTACGTTGTGTGACGAAATGGTACCAACTTTTAAGTTATTGCCATGAGTGAATTTCCGGGATGGAAAACGTTTTCTTTTTTTCCCAGGCGGTGGCGGCAGTAAGGCGGCGGCGGCGGGATTGGGGATATCGAAGTCGGGGAGGCGGGACGAGACGCTGGAGAGCACGTGGAAGATGATAACGGAAGGGCGCCGCGTGCCGTTAACTCGACACCTCAAGAAATCGGACACGTGGAACACGGGACACGTGGCGGTCCCGTCGGCGGCGGCGGGGAAGGTGATGAAGAAATCCGAGACGTTTAGAGATGCCGGGAAAAGTGGTGGGAGGAAGAATGAGATGGGTGCAACGACGTCGGATACGGTTGGGAGAAGAGCAGCGAAGAAGAGGGAGCCGTCGCTGGGCCAGGAGGAGCTGAACCGGCGGGTGGAGGCGTTCATCAAAAACTTCAACGAGGAGATGCGGCTGCAGCGGCAGGAGTCCCTCAATCGCTACAGAGAGTTGCTCCGGGCCGGCGGAGTCGTTTCGTTTTGAGTTCACCGGAGGAGGATTCTGAATTATGGTTATAGACTAGTTATAGTTAGTAGACGTGTAGTCTTTCTCAAACCAAACGGAATTGAGATTACCCCTCCCTGCTTAAATTACCCGATAAAAAATAAAGATTGTAATGCTTATACCAACTCCTAAACCATTGCTGGATAATCGCACTTACTACTTCCCACATGGGCAATAAATGAAATGGATGTGACCGAACCAGAACAGGAAGTCATACCTCTTAATTCTCTGATCAGTTGGGTTTCTGCCTGTAACCGGAAAATGTTACCATCTGTCTTCCAGGCAGAAAGCAAACCTGGCAAAGATGGAATTGATTCTTGTGCTGCAGCCTGCAAACCGCCACTTTTTCCCCCTTATGTCATGGACTCATCTCTTACGTTTGCCGATGACCTTATCTTATCTGGTTAGGAGTTGCCTCCTCTACGCATCCCAACAGCATTATGGGTGGCACCGTGACAGTCCACGTAGATCCTTCTCCCTCCCCAACCAGCGGCCCCTTAATTCTGTGACCAAAATTACTGGTTATTTTGATACTCCATCCAAAACCTGCATGGCAGACGGCAGTTCTGTTCTGTCTTCAGGTTCAGTCAGAAAATATCAAGGAGGCAAGGACCCAAGAGGTCCACCATCATTAGTTCTTGAACATGCTTCTGTCATTGCAATTAATTCATGATATAGAAAATTAGGGCAATGCAATTACGAGGGTTAGATATGAATATGATGTTTGATGGATTAATATGTTAACCAGCTTCATCCTGCTTTCGCATAACCAGATGGCAGGAAACAGCTGAAAGTAAAAAAGGAAAATACCGTGCTATTTTATACCCTTAAAGCTCCTGTCGTGGGGTATTCTGTACTCCTACATTTACATTGAAACTGGGAAGAGCCTGTCCAAGAAAGTGTATACTCCCCCTCCTAACAGCAGCGCTCCGCTGCAAAGCAAAACGGATTCCGACCTTCGAATTTAAGCAAGTACATTCCATTTTTCAAAAGTTGACTTTCAGAACTGCTTCTAAGTGATGAATGGGTTGCCTACCTGGTGGGGTTGATCCAAGCTGAGAACTTCCGGAATGACAGCAGACTCTGCAAAATGCTTTGGAGGTCAATGCTGGATAAGATGTAAAAAGGAAAGTGATACACTGCTGAGCATAATTAGACCTTGGCATGCTCGGTTAAAGAAAATGTACAAGATGTTTAATACCAAAAAACTGATGGAGGAAGGGTTCACTGATCTACAGTGGCAAAATGATACAACAATGATCTGGATAAAGTTTGAAAGAAACCTGCAACGCTCCAGCAAAAGAAGCAGCAAGAAGAAGTGGAGCAACATAGCCAGTTGTATATGTCAAAAGCAGGTTGCCCCCAACTACTGGATCCTGCGTGAAAATTTAGCTTATCAGTTGTATTCAGAGCATATCACTGAAATGCAAAGCAGGCTGAAATATTTTCACGATGAATGGCCTATGGAAAGCTAGATTAATACTAGACAGACTCATTAGCTCATTGATGTGGGTTATCTTCCTTTCTTTTCACTCGGCTTGTTTACTTTCTTCCTACACATCTGAGTGTTCACATGATATCATCCACCAAGATTACAGTCCAATTAATGAGCAACCAGAGGTAATATTCATTGTTCAAACTGAATCAAACTAAGATTACAGTCCTATTGTCACTTACAAGCAAACCTCACTATGTAAAATCCTAGCAACAAGGAAAATGTGACAAATCTTTACCTCTGCTCTGCTTTTCCCAGAGCCAAATGCACCTGTATGATCCATAAAAATAAAAACCCAGCATCAGAATCACCAAGTGAACCAGCACTATCATGGCATTAACTGGAAGTAAGTAAATCACTTTCCGAATGTTATGAACTAGTACATGCTTCTTACCAATGTAACCAAGCGTCAATGGAAGAACACTAAGTGTACAAGGTGAAAAGCTAGTTACAAGTCCTGCCCCAAAAATAACAGCCAAACAGTAAAGCAGGTCAGCTGGCAACCAATGCAAAGACGAAAATCCATGAACACAGCACAAAACACCAAAAAAAAATAGTGTGAAGGAAGATAGAAATGAAATGGTCAATGTGGAAACACCTAGTGAAGCTAAGTGCTGATAAACTGGTTCTGAACAGCCTCGTTAGCCTGTTGATTAGCAGAATATAGGAATCCTCCAAACCAGTCCCTGACGCTTCCATCAGCTAGAGTGTAAAGGAACGCAGCATCTTCCTGACTCAATAACAAACTTCATTAATACAACTTAGAAGACGCTCGGCACATGAACATAAGCTACCGAATCAGCAAGATTGTACAACCCTACTGAGACTCTATAAACAAACACATACATCAGTAGATTTAGCAGTTTAGTCCCAGATGGATAAGGCAACTCCAACAATGGCCAAAATATTCTAGGCATCTTCTAATCGAAAATTATGAGTGTTTGATTCAGCACCAGAACACACCAGAGACTCTTACCAGTAATTTGTCTGAGGACACAGCCTTGGCATTTCCCATTGCAACCAAATTTGCAACTGATCAAGAATTCAGGAAAAGAAAGAATAATTTACAGCAAGTGATATTGTGAAATGAACAAGGAAACACTCGAATTTCAAAAAAAAAAAAAAAACCTGCAGTGGAGCTCGCAATCGATTTCTCCCGAAAGCTACTTATATTACCGTCATTCTTCAACATCGACACAACGACGCGACAGCGAGCACGCTCATCTCCAGATGAACCTCCACTCAATTTGAGGTCGACCTTTCGCTTCCCTATCAGAAAGACATTCAATCTCGACTTCCAACTCGCGTAACAAAGATTGATACCTCAGAGAAGCTTAAACCACTCACCTCGATTGAGTTTCTCGTCGACGGCAATCCACCGACTCACACATTGGTTTATGAGCAAGCTCATCTTGCAGAAGCACCTGAGAGCAGCCAACGCACTTCGCCTTCGCGTTTGGTTTCTGAAAAACTCTAAAAGTGGGAAACTGAAACCAAACGATGTCGTTTCAAGGCTTGATGTTAATAATTAATGAATCAGCGACTTGCATTGTGGAGACGACGTGTCGTTTCGTTGGTGCACAGCCAAAACGCATAGAAGAACCCCAAGAGACGACGAAGATGCGTCGATTCCATTTCCAGGAAAGGGAGAGCCATGGCGCAGGTGCTTAACCTAAATCCTCTGCGTTCTTCGTCGGCTGCTCCGACGGAATCGAGCGGCCTCCATCTCCGAGGCATAGCCGGGAAGCGGAGCTGGAATCAACTTCAGAGGGAGCTCAAATGCAACGGCAAGTTCACTTGCCTGTTCTCCAGCGGAGGGCGAGAGGAGCAGGCGAAGAAAGCATTAGAAAGCGCGCTGGGAGGGAAGAAGAGCGAGTTCGAGAAATGGGATAAGGAAATCAAGAAGAGAGAGGAAGCTAGAACCAGCGCAGGAGGAGGGGATTCCGGTGGCGGCGGTTGGTTTGGCTCGGGCGGACCATTCGGATGGTCCGGCGGCGACAATTTCTGGCCCGAAGCTCAGCAAACCAGTCTAGCCTTGTTGGGAATTCTGGGCATCTACCTTTTGGTCGCCAAAGGGGACTTGATGCTTGCCACCGTCTGCAACCCTGTGCTCCGCACTCTCAGAGGAGCCAGAGATGGGTTGACTTTGGTTTCGTCGAAATTCTCCGGCGTGGGCGGTGGTTATGCTGCTGTCGGTGAACCCTCGAGCAAAGAAGCTCACAACAGCGTTGTCGTCTCCGCCAAGGAGAGAGTGTTGAGAAAATGGGGAAGCGATTGAAAATTGAAGCTTTTGCCAGTTTTACATGTTAGTTTCTGCAATTGAACTGCGATTTGAAGTTTTCCCTTTCCCCATCAACAAGTGAAGAAATTGGGCCTGTGCTAACATTGTCCCATTGTTCTTCCTTGAATCTAGATGCACTGACATCTTATTGCATTCCCATATTCGAGTAGAATGTATGAATTCCAAAAGAATCAAAATTCCTGTCCCATGTTCTGACTTCTGAGTACTGGTTGCTTGTCAAATTCATGCCGTTATGTAAGATCTGGGTGAAAATGGCCTATACTTGATTTGGCAAACGCGTACATAGGGGATAGGAAACTACAGATATGTTGAGAAGCTGAACTAAATTGAATATGGAAGATGTTGATTGCTGATACATTCCAATATGTATTGATCTATACTGCTACTGCTACTTAGTCATAGAGCTGTTTGGCAGATTGAGTTCTTTGCTTCTTGTTCTCGAACTTGACAACTTTCTCAAAGGACTGCTCGGTCTTGGAGATGGCCTTTTCCAGGGCTTTCTTCTTGCGAACGTTCTTCGATCTCTTCATCGGTCTTCCCTTCTGCATTCTGTATCCTAACAAATGTTCAGTTCCAGCAACAAACAGCAATGCTTGGCCTACTGATGCAACTTGAGACAACACAAATTCCAGCAAAACTATAGCTAAATTTGTGCCAAACCAATGACCGAGACAACAGCTTGGTGAAAGACTAGCTTAAGTTTTAGCAACATGGTCTCATGCTCTCTAAAAGAAACTACTTTCTGTCACTGGAAACTAGTACGAGCCATGAATAGATTCACCGATAACAAAGAGATGAAATTGCTTGTTGATATAGTGTAATTGAATGAAAACTAACCTATTGAGACCACCGGAGGCGGGTCTGGAAACTCCAGGCTCCGACGTGTCCATCGCTGCAATGTTTCACGATTTTGCCAGAAAAAGTCAATTTTCAAGTTGGAATACCGGCGGTGATAAGGAACAAAAGAAAGAGTTGAACTGGTTCTTCAAATTATGATGGTGAATCAATATAAGTCCCAATCAACAACCAAGACGACTCGGAGACTGAACCGGAGATACGGATGGAAAGAGGGTAGCTACTACCTTGAGCGGAATCCGAGATAGTAAGTTCCGTTGTGTCCATGGAATCAGCGCCAGCCTTCTTCTTCTTGTTCCTGTTCTTCGCCATGGCTGAAAGAGCTGCCGTGTGGAGTTTGCAGCAGAGCCCGACGGTTGATGATGGAGACTGGAGAGGGATCAAAAAACTTAAACCCTAAGCATATGCAAGTAACCGTAGCGTGGATCTATTTGTGGCCTGATAAGGATGGGCCTGGATATTTGGGCTCAGCCCATGAACTAAGATTTGGAAGTTTCCCTTCTTTTGGGAGTTGATAAATGTCGTCCTAAAAATTACTAATGATCGTCCTAAAAAACAACAAAATTACACTTTTAACCTTTTGGCATCTTTACTTTTCCTTTAGCAAACAAACAACACCTTCACTTAGAAAAAAAAACACTCATTCTCCCACACTTTCGAATTCATCGACGACATTCTGAAGTCGTAATCGTCGATAATACGTCCGAACAATGAGTAGCGATTCCGACGAGGTATAAATTTCGTATTTTAAAAAAAAAAAACCAAACACCTCAACCGAAGGTAATTTTCGGTTGGTCCATAGTTCAACCGAAAATCAGATTCAGTTGAACCATGGACCAACCGAAAATTACCTTCGGTTATGCCATGGGTGAACCGAAACCCTTCTTCGTTTACACCATGGGAGAACCGAAACCCTTCTTCGTTTACGCCATGGGAGAACCGAAACTGGCGCTCGGTTAAGCCACGGTGGAACCGAAATGGTGACTTGGTTGAGCACTGGTGAAACCGAAATCTGGCTTCGGTTGACGAACGGGCTCGGCGGAATGGAAGGTCACCTTCTCCGGCGTGAAACAGGCGACGACGAGGCGCACAGACTGACGACGACTACTGGAGGCGCGCTTGACAGGGACTGGAGGCGTGGTGGACGGCGGTTAGAGGGCGTGGGGGCGGCGGATCGAACGCCGGCGTGGGGCGTGGCGGCGTGTCGGCATGAGTGGTGGCGGCGTTCTCTGCGGCGGCCGTCTCTACGCAGAGAAGAGGTCGGGTCGAGGAGGAAGGGAAGGGTTTGGGAAGGGGACTGTTTGTTTGGTGTTTGATTCTGAATTTTAGTAAGGGTAATTCAGTAATTTATGTATTAAGTTAGGACGATGGTTAATAAATTTTAGGACGACCTTTAACCATTCAGTTTTTTTATGTGGTCTCGCATATATAATTTCAGTATTATCATTATACACTTCTTGACTAACAAGAACATCTGTTTTTGTATAACACCAAATAAATCCATTATAAAAATGACTAACAACTATCAAATAGGATCTCACATTGGCAAGAATATTTAAGAAACAATCTTACAAGATACTTGACAAAGGCAGCAAAAATATAACATCCTAATATTTTTATTCGCCACTCTCTATAATCCATCATTCATAGTGCAAATGCAATATTTTCTTTATAATTTTTTTTTTATCAAACAACTTTTAAAAAACAAAAATATACCATAATTAATTACCATTACGAAACCAAATTTTATAAAAAAATAGAATAAAACCCCTCTAATTATAAAACCTATTCTGATAACGGAATTAAGCCCCGCATCTGTATTTCGGCGTGCATCTCTCTCGCTTTGTCCCTGTTCATCGTGGAGCTGTCGTGACTGCCATCTTCATCACTGGATCTAACTCTCTGAAGCGCCTGGATTTTCTTCCAAGTGAACTCTGATCCGACGCTAATAAAACAGCCATTTCACTACACAAAGTGCCTCCTCCGGACATTGACGTACGGAGAGGGCACGCTTTTCTCTTACCAGGTTCTTTGCTCTCCCTGTCACGGAATACCCTTTTATCATGTCCGTGCTGCTTTTATCTTTCTTCACTGCGACGACTGTTATCGCCGGATTCTCGCTTTTCTTGGATTTCATTTATTTGTGGGCTTTCCCCATTATTGTGGATGCCGAGATTGGTGGTTAAGCTGAGTACGGTATGCGTGAGATAGAGAGGTTTTGGTTCAGGTATTATCAGTTACCCAATCTGTGCGGTTGGAATAGCTTGGCGGAAGCTTTTGCTCAGTGCCTCCAATAGCATTTTATCGTTACGGGAAAGAGTGCGATTCGCTACTGCAAATTTGTCAGTATTTGTTTTGTTGGATGTGTTGTCCGTATTCAGTTGTTGGTTGACGATTTCCTTGCTCCTTGAAGTGTCTCTCCATTTTTTAACTCGATTGTTATGGAAGGTAGATTGTGCTTTATTGGCGCTCTTTTCCTTTCCTTCCTGTCAAATTTTCTGGTTTTTGGCTTGGCTTTGCTTCCAACTGCTGATCTGCAGAACCAATTTTTCTGCTCAAGTGGTAACTGAACTTGGGTTGTTTCGGTATCTGAGAATGCTTTTGCACCAATAGAGATAGGAGATTATGTTTTGGCTTTAGTTGGTGTTTGTTCTGTGGGCAACAAAATTATAACTGTTGAAGTTTCAGCCTTTTGGAGATGGTGAATAAATGAACAGAAACAGACAACTGAATATAATGGAATGTATTCACAATGTTCTTCACAACCCATCTTCTTCGTCTTCCTTATTATTTTAGGGATGTGAGATACTGGTTGAGGTTCTTAGGACTATCATTACCACCTGGACAGTTAGAAATCCCAACCTTTCATTTCTTAAACAATAGTTGAAGTGATTTTGATAGGTTTGTTTCTTCTTAGCTCTGCTGCACTATCATATTCGCTTGAGATATTGACAGCTTAATTCCCATGGTTTCATAGTTCACAGGACTATGTCCTGCACTCCTGCTACATGTATTGATTCCATTCTCTGGTGTTGTAATGAAGTAAAACGCCTACATTATGGTCTACACACTGGATCACAAATCCTCCCTTTGTTTTAGCAATAGCAGACAGCAGTCAAGTTCTTAGTGCACCTGGCTGATCTGTTCAAACATTCTCCATTTTCATTATATAAGGTGATAGTACATATCAAAATGTTTGTTCTTTTGGAGAATTTGGGTGGAATAAGGCCATCCCTGTTTTATAGTTAAGAACCATGCTGCACTGTGCTTCTCTATAGATTGTACTGAGAATTGCTTCCACCATTGAGAACGGTGTTCACTGTTCCTTATTC